TACATTGTGACAGTCAAGCGGCAATAGGAAGGGCAAGGAATGTCATGTATAACGGTAAGTCTCGACACATTCGTCGAAGACATAACACAGTAAGACAACTTCTTTCTAGTGGAATTATCACATTGACTATGTGAAGTCAAAAGATAATGTTGCGGATCCATTGACAAAAGGCCTAACTAGAGAGATGGTTGCGAAAACATCAAGGGGAATGGGTTTAAGGCCTATAAACAAGTCATCATAGCGGAAACCCTACCTAATTGACTGGAGATCCCAAGATCTAGGTTCAAAGGGACAACTAAGTTATGAAGACAGTGTAGAGTACTGTCAAATTTTTACTCATTCCCGGATGAAGACAGTACTAATATGTGAAGGTTAAGCAAAAGCTTTTAATGATTCTGAATTGAGTATGTGGTATACTATATGTTCAGAAATCACCTATGTGAGTGTGAAGTGAGGGCCGCTTCTGTGAGAATTGAAAAAGGCCGAATTCTCTAAAACACTCATGAGACCAGGCGGTGTTCATGGCCAAAAACGAACACAACAGTGAGAACCAACTTTGTTCGAGAAACAGTTGTGTGATTTCTATTATCTAGGCTTACACCAAAGGTCGACAGTTCAAAGACATCAAGTCTACTGATTGACCGAGTAAGTCCGATAGGTTTCACTAAGGAAAGTTCAAAGTCTCATACTACTTATCCTGATGCAACATTTTCTCATGGAATAATCGCACATTGCATTTCATGCATACACGAAGAGTCATGATATCTGAACTTCTCATTCATGTAGGGGATTGTTGGGATTTTGGCACCCAAATCCCATAGAATTGAATGAGAAGTGTGTGGATGAAAGTGTCCCACATAGGATAGAAGAGGTGATGGGAGATGGTTTATTTTGAGGAGCCTCTCAAATGGGTTTGGGCCCCAAGGGGTACCCCACTTTTGTGGAAGAGAGAGGACCTACGTCAAGCTAGGTCGGTTCCGCCGCCGCCGTCCGGCCGGCTCGGTTCGGTTCGGTTTTGGGTCCATTCTCTATCGATTTTTTTTTATTTTTTTCGAACAGACACGTTTTGTTAGAAATTAATTAATTATTTATTTTTTGGACAAACAGACATGTCTGTTCATGAGGTTCGGTTCGCCCGAACAAAAACCGGTTCAAGAGAGCCTTCGCTACTGTTCATTAACCGAACGGGAACCGCTCGTGACTCTTTATTTTCGTCCTAGGTGACTATTCACTTTCGCACATGACCAAACGAAGTCTTGTGACTCTTCATGGATATTAAGACTGAACCAAATTGAACATTTTCGGGGTAGTCTCTCCGCATATTCATTTTTTTTTTCACGGTATTCTGCTGCACGCTCATTCTTCATCATTGTCATTTTTTGTGAGATTTTTCTGCGAAGTTGCGTTCGAAGGTTTCCTTTGAAGAAGTACCGCTTCATAGGAAATGCGATCCGTTCTATCCTGGGAGGCAATTGTTCAGCAACCTTTAGGTACCGGTAGAGGGGACAAATTGTCTTAAGGACACAACGTGAATTCGTTGGGCTCAGATCAATCGTCAAATTCGGATCACTCATTTCAGGTTTGTCAAACAACTTTACTTTATTTTGCACATACAAACACACGTATCTGAACAACAAATCTCTCGCTATGATACCACAAGTTGCGCTCTTTGTAATCTCTGTTTCTATTGACTGGAAACCGGACCTGAGGAACGTATCCTCTCTTTTTCACCGACTCCTCCAACTTCGCATATGTTGTTACCCAAAATTATGACATTCTCCCGTGAACTCTGCTTAATATCAGCAGAGCTCATCCATCCCTACTTTTCACATTCCGATGCGTGGAGGAAACTCCAGTGAAGCCGCATCAACAATCCATAAAAATAGTTACCTTAAGTAATGGTGCAACAGTTTCCCACAGCCCTTCTTCATGACTGCAGCATCATCCGAGAGAACAAGATTGCCTTCGGAATCACTTCCCCAGAAGAAAGGAATGCTTCCATCGACATCCTGCATGACTAAGAGAATAGACAGGATTAGATAGATCACAGGTGGAGGGAGAGATCGAGAGCAACATCCCAGAATGAAACCATGAGTCATTATTACTGAGAGAGGCCAGAAAAGTGGTATCCGGAGGGCCATCGAAGATCCAGAGGGCCATCGAAGAGCACAAGCACAAACTTTCCAGTGACGTCTCGCACAATATGTTCAGCAGGGCAAGGCCTCCGATCGCTCCGAGTTCTATAAGCTTCTATGACAATAATGGCCTCATTGGCGTTCCTGTTCAATCCATATTGCTGCTTAAGAAGAGCAGCATCGTCTGTGTGCCCTTTGGAACAAACAGAAGATGTCATCCACAACAGCAAACAATCTGCCACAGGGGGTAACACGTCAAATATCTATACAGCAACCGTTATTGGAAGAAAGAAAGCTTCTTATTTCGAATATCGATCTGAAAATGTGGAAATAGATTATTCTTATTTAGAAATATCGTGGAAGATAATTCAGAACATATAAGCGCACCATACAAAGATTAAAAGCTTGTTTTTTTTTCGCGTTTTGTTAAATTGGAAAAAAATCTACACGTATAATTGACTACATTAGTCCGACCTCAGCAGCAGCATTCGCACTTGATCCTTCCCAAGAGATTTTTCCACTAAATTGCTCCTACAAATCTGGACTTGGTTGTTTAGAGTTAAATTTAAGTAAAGGAAAACTTTTTTTCTTTTTTTTTTGGGGTCAAAATCTAAATTTCAAAGACGATGAAAAATGTGTATATTTACGTGTCAATGTTGTATACAGTGAAAGTTTCAAGAGTTGAGGAGTAAAAAAATTCAAAGTGGGTAAATCGCAAGGTTTACAATTAAATTAAAAAAAGAAAATAAAAGTTAATAATAACGAAAAATAAAACAACACAAGCAGAGTAGGAGACAAAGGTCAGATATTCTGAAAAAAATATAGGATCCTTAGCACCCCTCATACGATTGTATTATGGTTGGGGATAATCTTTCTAATTTGAGCAAAATCAATTTCTCTCTCCCACTCAATTTACTCAGCATGTCGCATTCTCTTTTCGGCTTCGATAAATCATTTTCGAAAATTATTCGGACTCATTTTGGTTTTCATCACATCCTTACTTTTGTTTCTTTGATAAATCATTTGATATTTTGGCAATTATATATAGCCCCTGGAGGGTTGTGAGATGATGCAACTGATTTGGTAAAGGGTTTATCTTCGGACTATTCGAAAGTGTAAGACTCAATAGAGAGATGGGATGGGGAGGGAAAAGTCCTCTATCTCTAATGTTGGACAACCCACTGTTACCAAAGGAGTGAAGGACGACTTTATCTTTGGACAATTAATGAGAGCGAAAGATGAGAGGGCGATGGGAAGGGAAGGGAAGTTCTCTATCTCTACTGCTGGACAATGCCTAAATTCCAATTTAGTGAGGTGGGAGAGCATGTGAAGGCATTGTGGTAGGCTTCTAAGATTCTCACAGCTTTCAATTGTCATAGAATTCAGCGATTTTACGGTGATCTCTTCCAACGACTCCACTCCCTCGCACTCCCAAATAGTAAGTTCCTTCAGAGCAGCAAGTCTACCCTTCGCAAACGTAAAAGATGTCAAAGATACATATTTAGCTATACGTAGATATTCCAATTGAAACATCCAGTTATTGCTGCCGGGGTCATATAGAGGAATGGTTGGTCCCATGATTTTTGGACAATTTTGAATGTTCAAATGTTTGAGCGTGTTCATTGGAAGCTTTTCTTAACTCGTGCAATCCCTCAATTCCATCCTTTCAAGGTTGTAGGGCAGCTCTATCTCTCCTTCTCCAGCCACAAAAGATTTCACATTTCATTTCCATCTTGCCACAAATATGTTAGCTTGTCGCAGCTTCTTATATGAAGCTCCTTCAGCTTAAACAATCAGCTCATAAACCCATAATCAAAGCAAAGAAGCTCTGCAAGATTTTCAACTTTCAGTATGGTTAGAGAAGTTGTTGACGAAACTCTTTGAGATCTCCTTGTTACAATCCTCAAAATATAACGGTGGAGAGATGGAAGACAAACCAGATTGGTTGAGACATTCAAATGTGGGCATGAAACGAATTTTGAGCTTTATGAGATGATCAAGTTGACGAGGCAATGTCTCGACCAATAAAGGACATCTCTGGACAGCAAGATGTTGAAGATTAGAGAATGGGACTTCTTTTTCTTTGCCTCCAGCATAATGGGACCAATCCTTCCATGCCAACATTTTTTCGAACTTCAAAGTTAAGGATGAAAAAGGCTTTTTACTTCCGTAAAATTCAGAGCCTAACATGCTTCTTCAAGAGATAATTCTCTAAGTGAAAGTAGTTGTCCAAGTGAAGGCATTGATGCAGCATTAAGACAGCCCCGTAAGCGCAAAGACACATAGAATGGGATGGACCATTTAACCATGAGGGAAGTATTACAGTACTAATGTGAGGTCGTAGAGAGTGTAGAGAGTGAAGCACCCGAGCTTCGCGCTCAACGTTCCGGAGGTTCCCAAAATTTTCATCCCCACGCAAGAATTAGTTGCTAAGGCCTTGCTTTCCAAACAAATTAGCATCAACCGCATCTCTAACTTCTACCACCTTCTTCAATTCATATATGAATAGTTCTCTTGAAGATGTGGCAAGTTCTTTAACTCATTTATCTGTGGCCCCTTCTCTAGTCCTACCACAAACTTGTACAAGATCGTAAGATTTTTCAAATTACCGATACCTAATGGCATCTCTTTTAGACCCCCTGTATCTCTAATGTCAAGAAACATGTTGGTTGAAATTTTTTGGAATGATTAATGATGTTATTCGCGTATTTTTGAATGACCGCTGATTGTTCAGCTGAAGACAGTGGCCCTTCATCAGAGCTGATTTTGCATCTATGCACAAATCAGTAGTGAATCTGCATTTCACCAAATAATGGACTTGAGTGGGAGGGAAGTTGATAGTATAAAATGCAATCAAATGAGGTGTGCAGAAAACTCAAATTCAATTTGATGTAATGTGTTCGGTAGCAAGAATAGCCGTATGAGCTTTGAAGAGGTTCAAGCGGAAACACATGGCAAGAAAAGGAGGAAGAAACTCACAATCCAGTTTCTATCTCTGCAAACCCCAGAAGTAAAATGTTTTGAGGGTAAGATTGTTAATAAGTCAAACAATAATACTTGACAAGAACCTTAAGAATGCTGTCATATGTCGAGTTACCAGTAATCCCCGCATGAACATTGACCATCAGTGAACCGATGAAACCGATTGACATCCCTGACAACAATCTCTCTTTTGTAAATATCAGAAGCGAATTTCATCACCGTGTGACAGTCACCACAAGTCCTCAGGTTCTTCTTTATCCTAACAGGAGCTCCATTTGGGAGTGTAAGAAGCGCAAAAGCAAGAGCCAATCTCTCGCTATGATACCATAAGTTACGCTCTTTGTACTCTCCTATGCTATTGACTGAGAATTGGACTTGAGGAACGTGTCCTCTCTTTCTCACCAACTCCTCCAACTGACCAAGCATCTCATAAATCTCACGCGTCATGGCGTGCGACCTATCGTGCACGGTGAACACAAAGGTCGTGTTTTTTACATCAACCCAGCTACACCCTGGTTCCTTCTTTAGCCCATTGACAGACATCAGTCTTCTAACTTCATCCGCTTCCTTCAATCTTCCCTCACGCGAGTACATGTTTGAAAGCAGCACATAGTTTCCTGGATTATCAGGTTGCAACTCAAAAAGCCTATCTGCGACTTCTCTGCCCATTTCAAGATTTCCATGATTTGAGCAAGCACCAAGCAAAGCTCCCCATGCTGTTGCGTCAGCTTTGATAGGCATCAATTCTATGAACTTCTTTGCTTCGTCTAGCCGGCCAGCACGACCAAGTAAGTCAACCATACAAGCATAGTGTTCATGTCCAGGGTTTATACCAAAAATCTTACTCATGGTATTGAAATACAAGTAGCCTTTGTCAACACGCCCAGCATGGCTGCACGCCGCGAGAAGACTAACAAGGGTAACATAATCAGGTTTAGTTCCTTGCCCTAGCATATCCTCGAACAATTCAATTGCTTGATCAGCACACCCATGTTGCTGGAATGCAGTAATCATCGCACTCCAACATACCACGGTTCGGCCCTTGATCTCTTCAAACGCCCGAGTAGCATCAGCTAAACTACCACATTTCGCATACATCATAATTAAAGCACCTCCAACGCAGCTGCTGTTAACGGATCCACTTTTTAATATCTGATCATGAATCGAGGTGCCCTGGCTCAATGCTGAGATAGAAGCAGTAGCATGAAGCACAGTAGAGAACGAGACCTCATCGGGAATTACACCTTTACTTCTCATGAAAGTAAAGTAATGGCAAGCCTCTTCAAACTTATCATTATTGACAAACCCCATCATCATCACATTCCATGTAACAACATCTTGAACTCCACTAGTCTGGAATTGCCTAAGAGCATCATCTAACGACCCACATTTACAGTACATGTCCAGCAGCGAATTCTTCACGTATGATGAACTCATCAAATTCTCCTTAACAACCAAACCATGTACCTGCCTTCCGAATTCTGAGCTGCCATTATTGCCACAAGCACTCAAAGCGCTAGAGAAAGTCACTTCATCCGGCGCGATAGAATCTCGCTTAAGAACCTCCCTGAAAACTAAAACCGCACGGTCAAAAAACTTGTTTTGCAAAAGCCCCACAACCATAGAATTCCAGGTGACAAGGTTTCTGTCAGGCATTTCGTCAAACACCTTCTCCGCCGCATCCATACGGGAACATTTGGCGTACATGTCCACCAAAGCACTTCCCACGAAGATGTCACAGTCAAACCCATGTTTGATCACCAAGCAATGAATCTGTTCACCATGAGACGACACCATGGTCCCTGCGCAGGCAGGTAAAACAGCAGAGAAGGTAAAATGGTTGGGGTAAACACCAGTGCTCCTCATCTGGTTAAACAGGGTCAGTGCCTTGAAGGGCTTGCTGGCATGGGATTGTTGGGTGATGAGGGAAGTCCAGGTGACCACATTTTTGGACCCATCACTGGCTTGTGAGAACAACAGCACGCTTTGGTCAACTTGGCCACACTTGGCATACAAGCTGAGGAGCTTGTTGAGGAGGGAAGGGAGGGAGGTGCAGTTGCTGGTGATGATCTGGGCATGTATTTGGGTGACATGTCTGATGTTCTTGGTGTGTGAAGCGGTGTTGAGGAGGTCATTGAGTTGAGTTGGGGCGGGTGGTGATGGGATTTTCTTGGGATGTGTGGTGTGCAAGAACTTGGGTAACACAGAGGAAGATGAATGGATTGCTGTGTGGCTTTTGCTGTGAATCAATGGGGAAGGAACTCTCATAATACTAGGACAAAGAGCAGTCCTTCTACATCATAGGGTACATGCTGTCTTCTTAAATCCATGGATGCCAACATCCATCTTTATAAGCCGTGACACTACTGCAGTCTTGCAGCAAACTCGAAGTAAATTGTAAAAATTTCAAAAATCAAAGAATCAAATAAATTACAATAATTTGTTTGAATTATTATTTTGAACAATATACGTGTCTATTGATTCTCTCTCATTTGGTCGGGCCGTCGCTGCGATGATTTGCTTCGCGGGCGAGGTAAGGAAAAGAAAAGAATCGAAAAAGCGGCTGATTGCTCCACTTGGCCTCGAGGAATGTTGCTCGGTCAGTAGAGCTCTGGTTTTGCAATTGGGTCGTCGCGATTACGTGTCGGATACGTCGTCTTGGTCTTAATATTAGTTTGGATGCTTCCAATGGCCAATTAGCCTCCTTTTTAATTTCCCCCTTCTTTGATACTAGTCGTTCTCTAGAAATATCAATCTCAGCAGTTAGGATAGAGAAATTTTCAGTAATCAGACATAAATAGGAGAGCTCACACATTTCATTTCACTTCTTCACATAACATAGGAAAACCACACAGCTATGATTACACTGCAGATATTACAAAAGCATGAGTACAGTCAAACTATCTCATGATTCTAAGATTGTCTTGATTAGGGATAATAGGGTACAATAATCTCTACAATACTCAACCAGACAAGGTGCTGAACAAGATTTCAAGCGCATGATTCCGGAGACAAAGAGAGGCTTGTTAGGCAGCTTCAGCAAAACCCAGCTCGAGATTGCCAAAATCAAACACCGTGTGATAGACCCCCATAAATACGTCGCCGAGAATCCTGCACCGAGATCCAATGCGAGGTGAGGGGAGAAAAATGTGGATAAAGATCGTCTTGAAGCAAATTATAGAGCATGCATATGAGAAGAAAAAGAGATGTACATACCAAAGAGGACCTCGAGGAGGCGGCACATCGAAAGCCATGAAGCCGCTGACGCAGATCGTATTAATTCCATCCCCAGTTTTCAGAACATACTGAAATGGGAAAACATGACGAAAACAGGAATTTTATCAAATGCTCCATCAAGCAGAGACAGTTCATCACACGGTACCAGACAATAGCCAACTAAAAATAAGTTAATTTGCCATTTTGCAAACTTTAACCTGCTCGGGAGTGAGAGTGAAAGGTTTCTCCCCAATAGTGAAAGTCAAGTTTGGCATGCCTGCGATGTTATTGCAGTCGACTACCGATTCACCCATTGGACTCGGTATGCTTTCACAAAGCTGTAAAAAGGCTAAGAGTCAGAAGAACTAAAATCTAGTATCAATATGCTGGCATTGCATTTTTATGTGCTTTGAATTGATTACCTGTGTCACATAGCTGAGTACTCTCTCTTTTGTTCTCTTCTGTTTTAGTTGAGTCTGGACCCATATGACAGTCAGCTCGCAGGCAGTGCAAACGACATCATCGCCTGACAGTCCACATTTCAGTGCATATTAGATCTCTAGTCATATTCTCCTAATAATCTCACAAGCAGTTCAAAGAGAAGTCATCACCTAATTTCTCGTTTTCCTTCTCGACCACGGTTTTGATTCCCGGGCTGCAAAACAAGTAAAAAAGTCGGTTAACAATTGTGGTGTATGTTGACACCTATATTTTTGCCCAATTCCCCGCGGCCTTAGGCCAGGCTCAGGGAGGTCGCCACAGTATATTATGCACATTTTTTTTTCTAGCTTTCCATACGTCAATGCTTTTTCAATGTCAGTTGGACAAAGGTCCAAATGGTAACGGCGTATGATGGCAAATATTTCACTGGGAAATTAGTAGAACTCGTGTTTTCAATATGACTAATGCTTATTGCTAGAGTAAGAGGCGTTGCTTTCCTTAAAGGTGAACCAGAAATATTGAAGTTAAGCAGTCATTTAACAATTATAATGCAAGAACTTCCTCACCTCACATGCTTTGTCCCATTGAAAATGCATAAACCGATCTGGGAACAGACTTTGTCGGGTTTCACCTGCAAACCATAATGATAAATTCTACTCAATTCATCCAAATGAATGAATACAAGTGGCGGACAAAAAGAAATGGTCAGTGACATACACCGGCAATCAAGAGATCCCATATCAAATCTCCATACTGAGACACAACCTCCTTGCATTCGGTGCTCACAACTCCTTCGGCCCCAATAGCATGGTTGATTTCAGCGACCACAGACTGGTAAACATTCCCAACAGGTGAACTTAGGAATACAATAACGACAGGCAAGTAGACACAGGACAGACGTAACAGGCAGAAAAACTTTCGTCGACATAGATTATTCTTAAGGGCGAACACATACTGTTGGACCAGCAAGCAAGGAAGTTCCCGAATCTACAATAGCTGCACATCCACCCTTGCATACACCTGAAAAGAAGTTGACGTCAGCCATGTGATTAATGGTAAATTCAAAGGCACAAATCTACAGGGCATTCGTACAGAATTCAAGGACTGTTGGAAATTTTTTTCGAAAGCAACCATGAGAGAAGATCATTAAATAGGAAAATGTGAAGCAATTGAAACTAAAATAGACAACACAGACTACTGGTATATGTACAGCTTTTATCTTAACTTTGAGACATCCTCGGTGAGAACAGAAAAAGAAAATGATGTCATAATCAGCTCATCGGAAGTGTCTAGAAGATAACGTCCAATGATATCATTCTGTTAGAACAATTTATTTTCAATTAGAGACACAATTAAGCTCTAAGAAAAAGGAACTTAGTGTGGCAGCTGCAAGATTACCTGTCGACTGGTTGGCAATGAGAATATCGCCCATATTGAACTGAAAGGACAACAAGTTCAAAGTCAATGCCTTTTCTAGAGAGAGTGATGAATGTACAAAGAATGAATCATCATCGATATCTTACCTGCCAGTAACCTTTTTGTGTAACTGGAACATATACATGCTTCCCCTTGAAGTGTCGTTCGTCGACCCCGCCAAACACAATCTCGCCTCCCTCTTTTGCATCTGGATTACGGTTCAACCAGAAGGAGAATATTTCATCGTCCAACATACCCTGCTGCACCATATTGTACCTGTAGTTTCTAAAATCAGCAGCCATAGACAACAGAGATAGACAAAAGAATGACGAAAAATAGGTTTCAAGCTCCAACAAAAGCAGGATGACTCCATGATTGCTGTGATACCAACAGCTAAAGCTATGGGACCATACCAGACAGGGGTGACATTTGCGACAGAGATCTCCTGGAAGCCAAGCCCCAGGATTCCATCGAACTTCGCCAAAACAAATGTAAGACTTCCTTCTCGGGTGGCCTCAATGAAAACCTGCAAGTCAAATAAGTGAACATGAAGGTTTATAGTCCTCTTCAAGAACTAGATTTCTTTCTTTGATAGAGAGAGAGAGAGAGAGAGAGAGAGAGAGAGAGAGAGAGAGCCCACTTGATCTTTTACAATGAGATTGCCGACTTCAACATTATCCTGACTCAGAAAACCAGAAACCGATCCAGATCCATAGTTTATGTCACAAGTTTTTCCTGAATCACCAACAAAGAAAAGTACCATAAGTACACCACCAAATTTGACGAAAAAGATAAGAACCTTCCACATGGATCATCTGATCTGGTGTTCAAGAATTCAAACATCAAGGTCATACCATTTTTTGTGTATGTACTAGAACGGCTGGCCTTGTATTTGGAATGGAAATAGCAAGCAACCTGCACATAATAACCAACCCAGTCAGCATTCCCACAACAATACACGTGTCATGAAACATAGCAATAAGCACGACTCACCGAGAAGTAACATTTTGCTGATGGAACCCAGAGATTTGAACTGCCGGTATCAAATATAACGGTAAATTGCTGTGGGGGAGAGCCGATGCCGATCTCTCCATAATATTGTGCATCCAAATAGTTCTTCAGGGGTACTATGTCTTCTCCTCCAGTGCGCATATTATAATATAAGCCCTTTGAACCGTATTTTGAAATTCCCTCTTTCCTTGCGGTTCTGGCAGCATTGATGCTCAGCACATCGAGGCGCCGCTTCTTCAGCCCAATTCTCACCAGGCCATGGGATGAAGTAGGAAGAAGAGGCACAGTTACAGCCCACAAACAAAATGCTGCTAAAAGATATTTGTAGCCCATGTTGTATGCAAAATCCTGTTAGCCTGTCAGGACAAGTGAAAACAAAGTAGAAAATTCTTGAATCAGCCCAGAAGTGACGGGGAAAACAACTTGGATCACCAATGATTTTGACGAAAATATTTCAAAAGAAATACAAAAGTTCAGAAGAGTGCTGCTTAACATGGATTTGGTTCATTGCACTCTTTTAACTGATAAAGTAGATTAAAGACCATCAACTTAGAAATTAATCAAGAAAGAATTCTACTTCAGCTGAAACAAATCATTCCCAAGAGTGAAATATGAGCATTCTACTTACCACAAACTACACAAAGATCACATGTGAATGAAACCATTTAGCCAACTTAAGTTCACTTTCCTACCCTCAAAGCCACAATAACAAATGCTTTTAACATCATCGGACCAAAAAAACACGCTTTTGACAATTTATGACTTCCTTCAGGAGCACCAATCACACCAACAGAAACATTCAAGCTTTAGAGCAAGCGAATGGGACACACAAGCAAATCAAAGCAAAGCCAGTAAACTACTAGTCCATGCATGACATCATGATCTCAGCAAGAAAGAAACCATTAACCCTCATGCCCAGAGAGTGCAATTCAAGAAGCTTAAATCTTGAAAGCAACAGAGTCTGGTATGAGCTCTGTGATCACGGTGACTTGAGTGATGTTGTTCGACACCATCAGACACAGGGATCAAACCTTGCCTATGAGCTTGAAGAGAGAGAGCTGAGGAAGGGATGCTGACGAGCTTTGCTGGAACGCTTCAGTAGCTTGCAGAAAGATGAGGAACTACTCGCTTTGATTTTCCTTTATCCTCTCTTTTTCGAAGTACAATAGTTACCTTTTGTCCGCAAACACATTAATATCTGCTAAGCGAATCCCATGTTTTTGTTGCTGACGCGCCTCAGTCTCTCGTGATATTTCTAGGAAAAGAAATTATTTGCGCTAACATATAAAATAGCAAGGGTTAATACTATAAAAAATCTGAAACTGGCATATATACAATAAATTTACTTTAAATTAATTTTTTTATCACAAAAAATCCCAAACTGGTACAACTATGATAAATTTACCCTCCGTTAGTTTCTATTAAATTTTACTATTAAATTGCTGAGTTGGATCACACGCGACGGTTGACGAATGTACCAGTTTGGAGTTTTACCCTCCGTTTGTCACATGTGTATCAGTTTGTAATTTTTCGTGGTATTAACCAAAAATAACAATACCAGGTTCCAACTGAAATAATGTATATCTATAATATATATGTACATTTATATTACATATATAATATCATAAATAATATCGATAGGGACTAGAAAATTTTTTCATACCAAGCGCAATTATTTTAGTGATTAAAGTAGTTTTCTTATGCTTACGGCACCTACATTTTCATAAGTTTTGGAATTGTTAATTAAGTTTTTTCAGTTCGTGAGGGAAAATCAAAATGAAAATATTGAACATCGAATTAGCTGAATACATTACAAGAAATTGATAGGGACAAAGCTTTATTTTTTAGGTAAAAAAATCTGTTATAATTTATTTATTTTTTGAATTTTTTCGAAATTTGGTAGAACTAAGTTGCCTTGACTCTTGCATATGTAGGTCCGTCCTCGGACATCGACAGACATACAATTTTGATGAAATTTCATTATTAACTTCACTGTCTTAATTCATTCTCGTAGCGATAAGAAATTATACCAGAAATCAAATTAGATGGGTGCTCGATATCCAAATGAGCCAATGAAAAAGCCGATCAAAAACTCATATTTGAACTGAATCATACCGATCAAACTGCTCTATTTGGTACGATCTCGAAACCCTACATTTAATCGCACTAATTAAGATCACTCCAACCTCACTCCCTTCACAATGCCTCGATGACATTGAAATGCATATGTCGGGCCATAACGATGATTCCAAAAAATTGTTTGAGCATGGAAATTGCTTGGAAGTTTCTTTAACATGGCCAACATAGGAAAGTGCAAGAGACGACGGTGTCCTGGACACGAACTTGTCCGGGCAACCCAACATTGGAAAAAAAGGAAGCATCCAACATCTTTACATACACATTTCCTCCACTTTTTTTTTAAAGTTTTTGTCTTTTTTCATGCATGTACGAACGCTAATGTCTTTTTTTTTTAATTATCCAAAAATTCTTAAACCTATTGTACGGCGGCTAATTTAATTATAAACATATCAATTGTGTCAATTTAGTCATAAACCTTTTTGCTGATTTACCAATTTAGTTCTAAACTTTTCAACGTTTTGCAAATTTAGTCATCCTGGCCTATTTTTGGTCGAAAATCGCTGATATGACGGTATAGTCAACACCAACCGTTGAACGTGGCTTGGTTAGCACTAATGTGGATAATTTTTTTACTTATTTTAAAATTTTTTGATTTTTTATAAAGTTTTTGAATTTGTTTCTTTTCTTTTCTTTATTTTTTGTCTTATCTTCTAGTCACCAGGCCTCAAAGGTGGCTGACGACTGGCCAGAGGAAAGGTTGGCCTTGCCAGGCTCTAGCGAGGCCAACCTTGTTGACCTCACCCTACCACTAGCAAGATGGTTGCCCTTGCCAAATTTGGTAAGGGTGAGACTCGCCAGTGACCGATGAGGGGGAGCCTCCCCCAACCTCATCGGCCTATACCGAGACTTGGCGACTGGCTAGAGGAAGAAGGAAAAGTAAAAAGAAAAAAATTATAAAAAAATTTAGAAAAATTTAAAAAAATATATAAAAATTGTCTATGTCAACGTCCGCTATGCCACGTAGGACGGCCGGCACTGACTAGATCGTCACGTCAGCAATTTCTAGCCGAAATGACTAAATTGACAAATCGTTAAAATATTTATGACTAAATTGAAAAATTATTAAAAATGTTTAGAACTAAATTGGCATGATTGAAATATTTAGAATTAGATTGGCAAGTTATCAAAAGCTTCAAGACAAAATTGGTACAAAAAAAAAGGTTTAAGAATGAATTGGCTGCCGTACAATAGATTTAGGATTTTTTGGATAATTTTCCTCCTATTTTCTTTTAATTATAAAGTCAGAATTGATTTTTTGGCAATATACTTTGTTTTGTGAGAGTTTTTTGTTCTGTCCAAAAAATACACAAAACGATGGTTTTAGAATATTAATTTGTGCTTAGTTGAAATACGGGGTGTTTGAAGAACATTTCATAAAATAAATTTCTGATAAATGAAAGAATACATATTTATAGTCTGATTTTTTTTTCGCTTTTATTGTTTTTTGCACACTCATTCGTTCAAGTGCAATATAGAGTCAAATCCGAATTTGCTATTTGGATAATCAAGTCGAGTCGAGTAAATATTTAGCACACAAAGCATTTTACTTTCTTAAGATCGAGGGTGAGAAAGACGGAACAATCGACCTTGATCAAGCTTCAATAGTGGATGGTTCTTAAATACCTAAACGGGCGATGAGTTCATGGTACCTATCTAGGTGACGTTGTCTCCACATATTTTTCAACACTGAATCGAGAAACAAAAAATCATGACCAATCAAGTTGAAATCTATCGAGCGGTCGAGAATCGTTTCATTTCAATTCCGAATAGTAAAAGATTGCGAGGGCATTGTGCACTACGGGAACTATAGCCTGACCCCTCGGGTCGAGGCATTTTCAAATTGATCCTAGTTATAAATCTTCCTTAGTAGCCATTGGGGGTGTGCACAGAAATCGGACCGCCTTGGAAATTGGACCTTACTGAACCAGCCGATTCTAGGCGATTCCCTAAACCCTAAACCGGACTGGTCCAACCTGGGAATCGGATAAGTACCGACCGGCCTCACCAGTCCGGTTATGGATTCTAGAGTGGAACCGGCCCAACCTGGGAACCCATCACCACTAGTAGGCTAGTAGCCACCAAGTGAAATTGAACCTGGGCCGAGCTCAACTGTGATATATTTAGCCCAGTAAGCACTGAACCGAATGCATTTTCTTTGTATGAAGAAAGAAGCTGAAAAACAAGAAACTCACTGATCGCTGCTCCGGTCATCTTGGGGAGTGGAAAAGTTGCAGACTTTGAAGTGAAGAGAGACGATTCCCCCCCTCGTTCGATCGACTCGGGTATCAACCACTGCTCAACCCTTTATACTTCACGTGCTTCAGCTTTCACTACCGTGCATACGACTTGAGAAAAAAGGTCCGCAGAGCTAGTTCTCGGGCTTTTCTGGGTTGTCCACGCCAACCGTTCGAGGAAATTACCCACTGGGATTTTGCTTAATGAACTTGCGGTTCTGTGAGTTTTTATTTTCGTATGGGAGTTGAAATTCGAAGTCATTTGATCATTTTGGCGGTTAACTGCATGATGGGTCGTAATGTGATAGCAATATAGTGGAAGTGTTATAGTCGAAGTGTCTTTTTTTTTTATATAGCGGAAGCTAAAGCTGTGAATTTGATCCTTTGTGCACTTCTTCATTTATTTTTTGTGGGTACTTTTCTAGACATGATTGTTGTCTCTAATGGAGTACTTGATTGAGCATATGCCAGTTCTTAGAAACGAAAATGAGCTCTTGACGTGGAAGTTAATGAATTTGACTGATGTGGAGCTGTTTAGATGGCATTGAGGCGGCTTTTGGGGTGGTCTGATGGTGAGCTGATGAGATCAGATTCGAAGCCTTGTTCGCGACTGATGAGACAAACGGCTGCCATTTTCACGGTGGGCGGAGGCTTGGGGTTCTGGGTTCTCTGTAGAATGCACTATGGTATGTTGTACTAGTTAATTACACATGCTTCTATTGCCTGATCCTGCATAAGTTGAAGTGGTGCTCAGATGTCTGTGGCATGTATTTATACAGGAAATTTTTGGGCTTTCTCTAGCTAATGAAAACACAAAGAAGGAGGCAATTGATAGTGGTGTGTTTCGTTCCAATTGATGTTGTTGTGACATGAATAATTTCCCCCTCACCTAACACATGAGCTTATTCCCCAGCAGGATCCCATTTCTATTGCTGACTGAAGTACTTTAGTAGAATCTGCATTTGGCTACCTCCTGTCTAGTGTGGATTGTACTTGATCAAATTTTGAATTCTTTGTCTTGCTTATCGTCAGTTCTCTGTTAGATTTTCATCTCATCTCTGTGTACTATGGACCAAATTGTTGGCCCTGAATTTTGAGTTTCATTGGAGGGAAACCATAAGGCATATAGCATAAAAGACACTTATCCTCTAGAGTTTAGAATAATCCCGCACTTTTTTGGGTTGTCGGCAGTTGTTGTAGGCAGAGATAATTGGCTTTGAGAACTCTTCCTCCCTCAAGATGATAAAATAATAGGGTTTGCTGTGCTTCTGAACAGTACCTGTTAAGTTGCTCTTTCCCTGTCAGGCGCAAGGATCACAGTACCCAGGAGTCTCCGGTGGGCAGCTTTCGGAGCTCTATCAGTGAGCTCAAGTTCGGCATTGCTGGTCCGCCTGTTCAGTCCAGAATGTGAACCGCAAAATATTGCTGCTTATGACAAAGGAAGATAGTAGTGGTATTCAAGTAGAGCTGTCTTTCTTCTTTCATATAGTGACTCATGAGCCCATCTTCTAGTTATATACTTTCTTGCTGGACTGAGATTCTAGTGGAGTGATGTTAATCTTCAAGTCTGTATTTATTGATTCTGCATGATGAGTGTTCCTCTAGTGCTAAGATTGGCATATTTTTGGGTTAATAAACAACCTAAGTATATTACACACTAATGTCAGGGTTTCCAATATAGGCATATAACTAGTTGTCTTTTATATTGGATCCATCTCAGGCTAGAACTGTGATAGATCCAAATGGATTTGGAATCAGGTATGGTACCTAATTGGACAAAGCATTCCAAAAATGCTCTGACTAAGACACAATGGCACAGCTGTACTTATAACCAACTGAAGGGCTTTTCAATTTGGCTGAGTCACATATCATTTTGAGGTTGCGTCTGTTGGTGCTTTTATCATTTTCCACTTGGAGTTGGTTGATATGTCATACATGCACTTGTTTTGCATCCTAGTCCTAGATAAATATTACAGAATGCTAAGCTGTGATTCAGTGTCAAATTTAACAACATGCGATCGAGTTGGCTGTGACCAATTGATATATGGGCAACAGCTTGGACAGTGCTTTTGCCTTCGTCGGCGCTAACCGTTTCTGCAGAAACTAAGAGCTAAGCTATTCTTCTGCTGCTTTATCTGTGGTTAATGCCCCTGAATTGCTTTTGCTCCCTTTTTGGTTGATGACGCCCTTCAGTAGACGAACATAGGAAATGCTAAAACTGACAGAAAATTGCCAGATTGGTATCAGCAGTCGGAATTTTTTTTTGGCAAAGGCTCGTTCTACCATTTATATGGTAGGCACATCGTCTCCCAGTGTAAAAGACATGTGACAACATGCATGTTTTATGACATTATTGAAGATCCTATTGTTTTCTTGGTATGTTTCTTGGTTAGTTTTAATGAACCAGAGTCTGCATACCATTCTTTTTCCATGCAAAGAAAGTGGTTTCTATAATCTCTCAAGGAACGGCTTGCCAGGGGATTGGTAGCCATTGAGTAACAAATGAATAGATCTAAGCCGTGCATTAAGAAAACTTTCGAGTGTCGGTGTTTACGGTATTTTCCATAGGAATTACGACAATATGTACTTGGATACGATACGTTAGAATGGATCAATCCCTCAGTAGATCATAGACTCCCAAGGAAAAATCCCAAGAATTGCAGGATGATTGAGCCCACGACGTGGACATGTCCGAGGTTTTCCTGAGAATCGATGTGCTTGTCGAGACTTTGGGCCTGAGAAAACCGAGGGAGAAAATCTCAATATGTGCTTGGTCCAATGTCCCTTATCAGGCTTCAAGGGTCATATGGTCCCTTATCGGCTGAGGCAGAGAAAGGCTGAAATCTCTAAAGGGTTATTTAAGTAAATGATGCCAGAGGAAAGACGATAGAATCGTGAGCACTTGGGTGGAGCGCTGGTTTATTATATTCAATGATGATGGACGAGAAAAGGCCAAGAAGAAAGGACAAAGAGACAGTGACGTTTATTGGGTGCACGTCTCACCAATTCACTAATGGCAACTAGGAATATAACTTGTATCCACATGACCACACCTTTGAGAAGTCGACACTCCTCCGAATGATTCACCTTTCCCACTAAATGGAGTTCTGTGAAGTAAATGTGAGGAAAACTTGGTGTGAACGCCAAAATCTCTCTAGCTCTTTTCCCTCTCTCGAGGTGACCATAAGAATACTCACGAATTGTTCCAAGCAAATATGAAAAAATATGGATATATATAAATATATATATTCATCTCATAAACGATGTTGCGGACATAATTAATTGCGATTCAAAAAACTAGTGTAGATATCAACTCGGAGAGTAGATATGAAAAGGATGGGAAAGAGCACCAATTCCCCAATTGAAAACTTGTTTTGTTGAAATTAGTCTAAGCAATGATTTATTAGTATCCAACACTCGTTGCTCCTTCTTATGAATTCGAAATAAGGGCGTGAACGATTCAAAGCTTTAGCGAACTACTCGAGCTTGCTTAAAAAGACTAGTCGAACTCGACTTGATGTTTTTTCAAGTTCGATCACCATGAATACCGAGCCCGCTTCAAGCTTGAACTTGGAAGAATGCTTGATCTCGAGTAGCTAGCGAGTATGATCGAGTGATCAAATCTCACAGCGTATATTTCCTTCGTTCAGTTCCATTCCTATAACTCGCAACGAGCCCAAAATTAATCCTCGGATAATCTAGTCGAACTCAAGCTCATCAAACACTCCATGTCGAGTGGATCTCGAGCCGTTGAGTATTCAAACATATCAAAGTTTGGTCGAGCCCAACTCGAAACAGCAAAATTTATTCCAACTCGACTCGACTCGACTCGATCACATTCGAATCCATGGCAATTTCATCTTCCCCCAGGGCACAGATGGTGACGGCTCGAGGGAGCGAAAGAGCGAATAGGATTATGTACGCCACGCATGTGTGCTGATGACGGCGTGGTGATAGTAAACCACCGAATATTTTCTCAGGAACAAGAGAGATAGAGAGACAAAGGGAAAGAAAAGCCTGATATAGCGCCTGCTGACTCTGCTTATTCGGTTATGGAATCTCCCTATCCCCTCTTACTCGTCGGTTGTCATCTCTCTCTCTCTCTCTCTCTGTCTCATCCCAATAACATAAACCGAACAAAGCCCCCCCAACGCAACAACAACAGCAACACAAACATAAGACAATCCCCTCCTTCCCATGGTTTCTCTCTCCTCCTCCTGTTCTTGTTCTTGTTCTTGATCTTGTTCTTGATCCAGACCAAGAACCCCGAACCCTCGCCGACCCACCAATGGCCTCTCCCAAGAACCACCGCCACCACCTCCACCCCAACGGCGACCACAAGACCCATGTCCCCAAGAAGCCGAAACTCGCCGCCGCCCTCATCACGGATTCCGAGGTCCAGTCCGAGTTCGCCCACCACGACCCTTCCGTCGCCCGCATCAACAACGGCAGCTTCGGCTCCTGCCCCGCTTCCGTCGTCGCCGCCCAGCAGCGGTGGCAGCTCCGGTTCCTGAGGCAGCCCGACCACTTCTACTTCAACGTGCTCAAGCAGGGGATCCTGGAGTCCAGGGGCGTGATCAAGAACCTCGTCAATGCCGAGGACGTCGGCGAGATCTCGATCGTCGACAACGCGACGACCGCCGTCGCCATAGTGCTCCAGCAGATCGCCTGGGGTTTTGCGGAAGGGAGGTTCGCGAAGGGCGACGTCGCGGTCATGCTCCACTACGCGTACGGCGCGGTCAAGAAGTCGGTGGAGGCGTACGTGACGCGCGCCGGCGGGCGGGTGATCGAGGTTCAGCTGCCGTTCCCGGTGAGCTCTAAGGAAGAGATTGTGTCTGAGTTCAGGGCGGCCTTGGAGAGGGGGAAGGTGGATGGTAGCAAAGTGAGGTTGGCTGTTATCGATCACGTCACGTCGATGCCGAGTGTGGTGATTCCTGTCAAGGAATTGGTCAAGATTTGTAGACAGGAGGGGGTTGACCATGTTTTCGTAGATGCGGCTCATGGGATTGGGTGCGTTGACCTGGATATGAAGGAAATTGGGGCTGATTTTTACACCAGCAATCTGCACAAGTGGTTTTTCTGCCCGCCTGGGGTCGCGTTTTTGTACTGTAGGAAGTCTTCCGGATCGTTGGACTTGCATCACCCGGTTGTGTCCGATGAGTATGGTAAAGGGTTGGCTATAGAAAGTGCTTGGATCGGAACGAGGGATTATAGTGCTCAGTTGGTGGTGCCTTCGGTCTTGGAATTTGTTAATAGGTTCGAAGGCGGTATTGACGGGATTAAGAAGAGAAATCATGAAGCTGTTGTAAGAATGGGGGAGATGCTGGAGGAGGCGTGGGGGACAAACCTCGGCTGTCCACCGGATATGTGTGGGAGTATGATCATGGTAGGGTTGCCTGCTTGTTTGGAGATATCGAGCTATGCAGACACTCTGAAGTTGAGGGCCCATTTGAGGGAGAGTTTTGGTATTGAAGTGCCGATTTATTACCGATCTCCAAAAGAGGGAGAGGTTGGTCCAATTACAGGGTATGCTAGAATCTCGCATCAGGTTTACAATAAGGAAGAGGATTATCACAAGTTTAGAGATGTGATTGACAAACTCGTGGGCAATAAGTTCACTTGCAAGCTTCTTCATGACTAATAGGGTAAACTCCTTGAATTCATCAACGATAAACTTGTATTTGCTATTATTGTTCTTTTCCTGCTTTAGCAAACAGCAAGTTAGTTTTCTCCATGAAACTATGGAAAACAGTCGGTGGCACTTTCTTAAAGTGTTGGATCTTGTCTTCTGTCTGGACCATTGTGATTGGGAAACATTTGTTAAGATGATCCCTTGCAGAAGACTTTGATGATAAATAATCAGAGCACTGCATCCAATACAGAACTCCTCACTACACATTTAAATCTAATATTAATGAGAAGTATCTGCAAATGCAATTGTGGGATGGGATAAGAACTTGCTGTACCTTTCTGAGTTGGCTTGATGCCAAATTGAGAAGCATGCTTATAATCTTGGTTGGTATTTGAGAACTCCAGTTCTAGAAGTAGAATAACTGACAAATAACTAGCAAACAGTGCAGAAAAGGTAATAGGAACTGGTTTGATTTTTGAGACCTCGGCTTGCAGAAAATTTTAATTTAGTGGCAAATAGGACATGCTTCGGATGTATTTCTTTGAGGCTTATGTTCTAGTTACACTTCTGATGGCCAGTAGGAAGTACAGTTCAGGTGGTAGAAGCATTCTGTTTTAATTCTGTCTAGCGTAATCGGCGAGCTAGGGTAAAGAAAGCTCCCTTTTTTCCCTATTGGCAGTATCAGTTCTTATGCTTTGTCAATGGTCATACATTGGTTTTCATATTTGTCATGCCCTAAGCAAGGTGGCTTTATGGACTCCGGTGGCTGAACAACAGTGTTGTTTGTTTACTATTTAATGGATAGAGAGATTTTACTGAGGAACATTCTCCAACTATAAGGTAGTTATGCGCTGTAGAAGTAAACAAAACAGAAAAGGCCTCGGGGCTAGGCGAGAAGGGCGATAAAGTGGGTGTGGTATTTGTGCATTGGGTTCGGCATATACGGTAGATATAGCAATTAAAGTATCTCGTGTTACCTCTGGTGATCCAAAGTTTGACTGATCTTTTTTTGTTTTCTTGTAGCCTTAATGTGTTCTGATAATAAAAGCTGCAGTTTTCAGCTCAGCTTGCATGCCGTCGGCAGCTGTCATGGTTTAGTTACCATGGGACTCCAAGAAGTCTGCGTGAATCAGGAACTGAAAGGATGTGCGTCGCCTTTGTAATTAGATTTTTAGGAAAGGTCTTGACTGCAGGCTCAGTTAGATTGAGAGATGCTGATGACGGGCTCTTCTAATTTCTTCGGTTGTTTAATGCTTTGTCGATCCTCCTTTGTGCAAATAAATAAAAACGAACCTGTTCTTATGTCGGCAGGAGCTGCCTACAAAGTCTGTGGATTGAAGCTTTTGTTTATTACTGTATTGATTCTCCACAGCTTGTTATTTTTGGTAGGATCATCCTTTTGCCTGCGCTGATGATTGCTGCTTTCCAAGCAAGTTCTATTGTCAAAGCAGCAACCAGCTTTTTTACATTTGTGCCAGCCCCTGGGATTGTGTCCATGTTGAAATCCATAATAATCTGAGATTATTATGATGCTGCTGCTCTGAGATGCGTTAAAAATTGGCTGCCGTGACTAATTTCAACATTGGAGTGTGCTGTTGTTCAGCTGTATTGCTGCGAGATTCGAGATTCAATCCGTTTAGAAGAGGCAGAGATGTTCTCTGTTTTCTGTCAAGCATCATCACAGAAAGTTTCCTGGTTTACAAATTCCATAGAGGCAAACTGTATAAGTTAAGAGGGTAAAAGTCACTGTGGACAGATCCTGATTAACTCTGATTAGTTCATAATTAACTGGGGCTTATAGATTTTAGTGCCTGGTTGAGTGTTTCTGATAGGGATGGGATGTCTTAATAGGCCTAAATCAAAAAGGTGTTGAAAAGGAGTTGACATTTATAGATTATTTCCATGGTGGTGAATTGATGAAAAGAGAAGTCTTTTAGTGGGTGATGGTGAAAAGGAAAAGTTGGGTACGAGTGATTCGCTAATGTGCTTTCTATGTTGCTTCTTGGAGAAGAGAAAAGCATGACATATGTAATTAAAAAACTAGTTTTGTTCGCATGGTGTCAATTTTTATATGATGAATTTGATGAACCTGCCCTTCCAATGACAAAAAAGAATCAAGTTTTTGGGGCAACATCACAGTTTTTTTTTCGGGTCGGATTGCGAATTGAGAACTCTTTTTTGCCCGGATTGAAAAGGCCGAAAAATTCGACCCGATCCATCAAACCCATCTTAGATTGGGCGACTATAATCGGGTTAATCGATCGTTCAATTGGAAACGATAAGGGAACCGATGTATGGATCCGCCATCGTTCGGGCTCCAACAGAACCTCAAAATGCCAAAGCTATAGATCTGGATATTGACATTTGCCCGAACCGGAGGTTCCGAGTGCACTTAACGCATTTGATATTACCATCGCTTACGAATCGAAAAACTTATCTTATATGTCAATTTGTACGGCTATGACACGATGTATCAACCTTATTAGTAGACATCTCGATCAACTTTGCATTCGAAATTAACTCATTTCTATTGCGTCAAAGGAAGAATCTAAATGTGGGTACCATGATTGTTTTGGATATCCATTCACGTGATATAGTGAAGTTACAATATTTTTTCAATTTTATGAGGGGTCATGTTTGATAAACAAGGCTCCGTTCGTTTCGCATAAAATATGACGTTGCTGGAAAATATTTTCTATGAAGTTATTTTCCAGAAAAATGACAATATGTTCTGTGTTTGATCGAAACTTGAAAATGAAATGGAAAATATTTTCTGCCATTTGGCAGGGAAAATTCGGTTTGATTTTCCTCCATGTACTCCTTTCGATCATTTTTATGTTTTTATTCTTTCTGTTCTTTGTTTTCTTATTTTCTTTCTTTTTCTTTTTTTTTTCTTTCTTTTTCTCAACCGGCCACAGACAAGGGACGAGCTCACTTGTGGTCGGTCGCCAAAAGAAGAAAAAAGAAAAAGGAAAAAAATAAAATAATAATTAAAAACTAGAATTTAAAAAAAGAAAAAAATAATTAAAATAATTAAAATGAATGGTGAAAGAAAGAGAGGCGAAAATGATTTCAATTTTCCTCAATTTGAAGGTGTTTTTTTTTCCATTGGCGGAAAATGTTTTTCTTGATTGGTTTATTTTCCGTGAACCGAACGTTAGAAAATTCGGAAAATATATTCCTAGAAGTTATTTCCCGTGAAACGAACAGAAAAATCAAAATGGTGAAAAGAGCCAACCAACATCTGTAATCCCTCGACATTATCATAAGAACTCCACACTCATAATAAAATGTTTGGTTTGAGCCATAACAGCTATTCTCAATAAGACGCTAGTTGAAGTAGTGCCAAGGCAATCTGACGTCATATGACTCGGTCGAACCTATGCTAGCCCGCATCAACTTCATTTATGGTCAGAGTCTAATAATTTCCTCCACATGAGCATACACATTTGATGTGAAATTTAAAGGCCAAATTGCCAAAAGCCCATAGGTAATCATGTACATGATAGGATATTTCAACTCAAATAAGATTAATCTAGAGCATACTAAGATTCTCTCCCTCTCTCTGTCTCTTCTAAGGTCAAGAGACAGAGAGAAAAGACAGAATTCCCCATGATTTCATAACCAAAGGTAACATAATAATTGTCTCTCACATAAGAAAATGAGCTTAAATGGCAAGCTGGTGATATTCTCTCTCTGGCTTCGACTTTATGCAAACTGCTTTGCCATGAAGCAGAGCTCTTTTTGTCTCTTTTGTGCTTATTGATCTCATTCTCAGAGACACCTGATTGGGATCAAACACAGGCAGGTCCCTCTCTATATCTATTTCTCTCTCTTTGGGTTCCCTTGCTTTCGTGTTTGATTGTTCATGAAGCTCTGGCTATTGGTGCTGAGCCAGAACCCAGAAAGAAAACAAGAAGAATTGAGAGGAAGCTTCTGTTTTTCTCCCGTCTTGTGATCTTATGATGGGTGTTCGAAATCGTATTCGATAGCTCTGGAAAGAGCTTGGTAGAGTCTGCACATGCATACGGTCCATCGTGCAGTTCAAGCGAGTTGAAAACGAGCGTTCGTGCTTCAGTTTCTTGATTTGAGGGAATAGGAATCTGTTTTGCTGGTAAAACTCGGCCGCATCGATGGTTCTTGGAGACGGAAATGGCTAATACGAGGATAAATCACGTGAAACTCCCCTCGGTGCTGTGATTTTTTGGCTCGAGTTGGTACCTAGTCTTTGTCACTGTATAATTTCGTTTCATCATTCGAGCTTCGTGGAAGCAACTGGGAATGTAATGCACACCCAACTACCGTTCACGTTCACATGCAACTTATGGAGAGAGAGAGAGAGACAGAGAGGGAAGAGGAGAGGAGAGAGAAGCTTTATATTTGTCTACTATATTTTATTCTTTGCATGGTCAAACTCAAACTCATCACATGCCAATCTAACCTACGCTCTGCAGCACCAAACAGCGAGAGGAAGAGAAGGATTTGACTAGGTTTCGGTTCTCATGTCAACGTTCGAGGAATCCCAAGTTTCGAGTGTCGGATTTGATCCACTTTTGAGCGATTTGAATGAGAAGAAGCAGAGTTTCAGGCGCAACGTGCTCTGTTTGGCATCGGAGCTGCAAGAGGTGCGAAGCCGTCTCGCATTTCAAGAGCAATCATTTGCAAGGGAAGCCCTTTCAAGACAGGCGAGTATCATTTTCTCTGGAGCTCTGATCTCGAAATGATTTCCTTGTTTTTGTGAAGTTTTGTGTTAGTTCTGCTTATTGGGAATTTGGAATTGATGGGTGTTCTCTGAATTTTGGATTTCTAATTATTTTTTGACAGGAAGCAGAGAGCAGGGTGAGGGAGATGGAGGAGGAAGTGATAGGATTACAAAGAACATTGGAGGAGAAGGATGGGGAGCTTCAGGCTTCGACTTCTACTTCTGAGAAGGTCCCTGTAATTACAGCTCCTATTTTGATTTTTACTTTCTGTTGTTATTTAGCTTGTGGATGGATTCTTGCTCATGATATTACATCTGTTGTTAACTACTGGTTAATGTTCTTAGAAGGTAATGAAGGCATGTCTCCCTTATGTCATTGCAAGTGATGCAATTTGTTTTCGTTATTATGGCTTATTTGTCTGTCATGCTGTTTGCGGTCTGCGATCTCACGGTCATTTGCGCGGTACCTTTTGATTTCTGGAGGAACCCAATGAAGGAAAAATGACCATTTTGGATTGCTCGTGGTAGTTGTTCATGAAACATTTATTTGCACTGACATGATTGAGCTGAAAAGGCTAAGGAAGGTGCACAATTTTTAAATGAAGTCACATTTCATATGATATTTCTAAAGTAGTGACAGCCTGTTTTCTTGGTGAGGTTTCATTTCATATTGCTTAGTACAGAAAGCCTGCTGTGCTTGGAAATTTTCTGGCATATAAATATCTGCTGAATATTCATCACCATCTTAAATGAGTTTATGCTTTGAATTTTTCTGAATGGATTGTAAGTATGTTCAGCTGGGACAGCCACAACGGCCTGACCTAAGGTTTGTATTGCATCGAGAAATCATAGCTTAAAGCTCCATGTACCAGCTGGGCTTTCCTTTCTTCTTGATTTAGAGAGAGAGAGAGAGAGAGAGAGAGAGAGAGAGAGTGAGTGAGAGAGAGAGAGAGAGAGACAGAGAGATTCTGGCGGATTGTGGAAGCTAGCTTAGATGTGCCTGAACAAACAGAACAAGAGCTTATATGATGATTTCATGGTTGTAACTTCTAATTCTAAAGACCTTGGCATGAGTCGATATGCCTTACTATCTACTGTAGAACTGGTAACGTAACTGCTATTTTTGAACTGATGCATGCCCTGAATATTTACATGCATCTAAGAAGAAGTGCTCATATGTTGTAGGAAAAAAAAAAGGTTCCCCGATTTCCGGGGAAGCCAAAAAAATTGATTGTGCTTCATCAACCTCAGAAGTTTCGATGTCGATTTAATTGCGTTGGATGATCCTTTTTTTTTTCCTTCAGACTATTGGATGGCTCAGCAAACTTTTCCACTTCTACAGAACATTGTTGTTTGAAGTATACACAGTAGACTCTTTAGCTGTGGTTTAATTTATTGACAGCATCGTCCTTGATCTGACGTTTTCTTGAAATGCAGTGTCTCCAGGAAATGGATGCTCTTAAATCACAGATCGTGATCACTCAAGCCACTGCAGATGCTAGTGCCGCATCAGCTCAATCAGTGCAGCTTCAGTGCCTCGCCCTCTTAAAAGAATTAGATGAGAAGAACTGTTCTTTAAAGGAGAATGAGGATCGTGTTAATAGGTTTGGCGAGCAATTAAATAACCTGCAGAAGGATCTTCAAGCGAGGGAGTACTCACAAAAGCAACTGAGAGAGGAAGTTATGAAGACTGAGTGTGATATTATGGAAGCTCTTGCTAAATCAGGCTTAAGCAAGGACTCTGAACTGAGAAAAATACTAGATGTGGTATCCCCAAAGAACATCGAGAATATTAACAGACTTTTGGTGGTTAAGGATGAAGAAATAGGAAAGCTCAGGGACGAGATCAGGATCATGTCCGCTCATTGGAAGCTCAAGGCGAAGGAGTTGGAATCACAGGTGTTGCATCGTATTCACTTGCTTACGTTTCTCCATTTGTTTACTCTTTTGCTGTTATCGTGGTTGGCGTATGTTATTAAAGATTCAAGAAAGATTCTACTTAGTCCTTAAAAGTCGGTACAGGAAATGCTAGGTTAGTAACATGAGAGAGCATTGTTTGGCTGAACTCTAGTTTGTCCAGGGCAAACATGCTAGAATGGAGTTTGCCTGTTCAGTACATAATGGAGGTTTTATTTGTGTACTTGATGTGATTGTGAAATAGTTGGAGAAGCAGCGGAGAGTGGATCAGGAACTGAAGAAGCGGGTGGTGAAGCTGGAATTCTGTCTCCAGGAATCCCGTTCCCAGACGCGGAAACTTCAACGGGTAATTTGCCCAAACCCTTTTATGCAAGGTAGTTTGAGTCATCGGCAATGGCCTTTTCAGCTTTCACGAATTTTTTAAATTCTTGTCTGCGACACTCTTAGAGTAAATCCGTGTCGTTGTCTATCTAATGCATCATTTATTTAAGACATCTTGGTCCGGTTGCCATGCCACGTTACATTTTTATGCAGATTTGTCCAACTCGACTAGCCAAAAAATTTGTACAAACTTCTTACTCAGCGACCTTTTCTTGTTCATCGCATATGATCGATTTAGGGACATTTTTCGACCTCTCACCACCACCATTCGGATTTAGCTGCGTGTTTATTCATTTTTTGTACTAGCAACAGATGGGAGATCGGAGAGACAAAGCTCTCAAAGAACTCAAGGAGCAATTAACAGTGGAGCTGCACCAAAAGAGCGGTCCAAGCGGTAACGGCAAACAGAACTTCTGGGAGTCCCCTAGCTTCAAGATAGTGGTTTCCATGTCCATGTTGATCCTGGTAGTTTTCTCAAAGCGGTAGAAATTGTCACAACAAGAGTACACTTGTAGAAAGGCAAAATCAAAAGTTGGAAAAGGATATAACAGGTGCTAGTTTGCTCATTTGCTTGCGGCACTGGCCAATGCATTTTTTTGTAGTTCACATCAAGTATTATAGGACGTCGATCATCTCTTTGGATCGTGCGAGCGATCCACACACAGACGAATTGCAAATTTGGTTGTGCTAATGGTTAAGGCTTGTCCGGTCCGGACCCCGACTCTCTGTCTCTCTCATATTTTCCCAAGCAGTGCTGATCAATTGCAACAGCTAAACAGAAGAGCCGGCGGCGGAGGGCAATCTTAATATAACGCGCCTGCTATGAAAATATAAAAGGTTGCCATGGAAACTGCACCGCCCCAATTCAAATCACAAGTGGTTGCCTTCAAGTTCGACTCTTCTCCTGCCACTTCAACTTGTCAAGAAACTGCAAGTTTTCCAGTGACTAACTTCCTGACCCTTTCTTTCTTCTTTTCCATGCACTCCCCCTTGATGGTTTGCTGAGATATGCAGATGGAAAGAGCTCATGCATTGTGTGGGGTTTCTCATCAATGGATGGCTTGCTTTTTCCCTTCTCTTCCAGTGGACAACGCTTAGCATCTAGCATCCAGAGAACGTCTTAGCTCATGTAATCTTCCACATTTGTTTGTAATTTTCTTGATTAAGAAAGTAAGATTGCTCTCACAAAAGATTAATAATTTACTAGATTTTTACAGTGATTTCAAAAGTTAAAAAAAGTTAAAATCCACCCGAAATTAGATAGTAACCTTTGAACATCTCAAATAAATTGCAGTATATATTCGCAAATAATTTTTATTTGGGTTAATACCACGAAAAATCCAAAACTAGTACATTTGTGAAAAATTTCTCCCAAACTAATTTTTTTATCACTAAAAAATCCAAACTACGAAAAATCACAAAATTGGTACACCTATTACAAATGGAGGGTGAAACCCCAAATTAGTACACCATCCAATTGCCACATGTCATCCAGCTCAGAAATTTGAAAGTAAAATTTAACAAAAACTAACGGAGGGTAAAATTGTCACAGATGTACCGGCTTTGGGTTTTTCGTGCTATCAACCCTAATTTTTACCATGTTGATTTCTAATTTCTCAATTACAAACATAAGTTTTTTTCTTTTTATGGTCAATAATTTTACACGTAGTGAATAACTTTTTCTAAAAGTAATTTAGTTAATACTAAAGTCTCTAAATATTAAGTAATTTATCAACACTAGATGTAATTTTCATAAAATCAAATTCTAGTAACTTTGAATGCCAAAGTACTAATTTCTTAAGAATTTTATTAAAAAACTTACATAGTAGGTTTCCGTTTGCGTTCGGCCTATTGAATCAAACGATCCATGCTTTCTGGCCAAAAAAAAACTTTAATAACATAGCCTACATTTTCTAAATATTCATACACGTAATTAATATCCAAGCAGGTCCTTATACCAGTTACAAGAAGACACTGTAATATACCACTTTCTACATGACTAAATTACATCTATATATATTTATACACGCAATTAATTTCCATCTCACAAAGAAATAGCAAAGTTCAAACTCCAGAACAAATGCAATATAATTAAAACAAGAATGGTGAACTTATTCAGCTAATGCTATAAAATGCTCCTCAAAATTGTCTCATTTTGTATTATTTTATCCAAAGTTGCCATCAACATAGTTTCATTTCTACACTTAATAAAACCAGATCGATCTGCAATGTCATAGCAAGTTGATGCAAAACATTTTGAACTCAACCTCTTGCTGTTATCTGAAATTGAAGTTTTCCTTTTGGCCCATTGTTTCATCCGATCACACTAGCTTTTTAAATGCTTCTTCAAGTGAAAGTGAAGGATTTGTGCACAGCGGTATGAATTATATTTCTAGTCAAAAGACTCACCAGAATTTAGAGGACACGTTCGCAAGATTGGAAGGAGCCGTCCGCCCGCAAACTGCAAGCAGCGCAGCAAATGGGGTGCCGGCGATCACCATCGGATCGGATGTATCACAGGTCGAAGTCAGAGACAGCTTCCTAACAGCAGCTTCTGGATCTTTACAGCTCTCATCAGTGACATCCTTCAGTTCCAGTTTGCTAAGCTGAGAAGGACCATGAAAGACCATTCTTACAAATCAAATTTGGGCACTCACATGCTTGAATTAATCTGCAATAAACAACCATCGGGCGTAGCCGGAGTTTCTAATATCTTTGAGAGTGTGCTTGAAGGTCCACAACCAAGATTTTAGTTTCTTTGATATTCTCTAGCGTGAGGTAAAGCTGTCGGTTTGATTGCCAGAAACCCGGGTATCGGGCTTCTTTGGCGAGCAGCTCTCCTCTAACGGCTTGAACGCGTCACCTCGCCTATTCGAAGCCTAAAGAATACACGACCTTCACCTGCAAAGATCATGACATGCGAATTAGCTTAAAGATTACACGGCCTTCGCCTGTAAAGATCATGGCATGCAAATTACCAGCTTTTCAAATGAAGGACCACGCTGATCGCCTCTTTGGATGAGGTTCGTGCAGACCTTGACCCGGACTCTCTCTCTCTCTCTCTCTCTCTCTCTCTCTCTCTCTCTCTCTCTCTCTCTCATCTCTGATGATTTTTCAATCGTTAAATGCTTTTGAACTATAGAGCTGAGGTGGAGCCACATCAGCCTTACAAGACAGCCACATTAGTTTTAATTGGCACCTTAGCGGAGAACTAACACACAGCCGTGGATATATTTGATATGACATAGATTTTCCATCCTAGAAAGGGCGACGGATTTAGATTAGCCAAGAAAGTTCATTTTTCCAAGCAGTGGTGATCAATCGCAATGGATAAATAGAAGAAAAATTACCAACAAAGTCATATACCTATTGCAATTGTGTCAATTCAGTCCCAAACTTTTTTTTTGGCCAATTAAGTCCTAAAAATTTTGCATTTATGCCGATTCAATCCATCCGGTCAATTTTGGCCGGATAGCGCTGATATGGACGCCGCCTGTCCAATGTGACATGGCCAATTTTTAATATATTTTTTGAATTTTTGAATTTAGTTTTTCTTTCTTTCCATCTTCCTCCAGCCAGACGCCGGACTTCGGCAACCAGCTAGAGGCAAGGGCCTTGTCTAGCGAACCTTCAAACTTCTCTAAGGTTACAACAACATAACCATATTATCAACAAAGTCAAATACCATAAATAAAATGCACGAGACCTACAAAACTCACATTTAAAATAGTTGTTCCAATTTTGAAGGCTGTATAAAGTCCATATCCATATTGCATGATCCCTTTGCCAAGAGCCCCTCTTGTTCAATGTGGTGCCTCACATTCAGCAACTTGAGCAACCTGTGCAGTTTAATGGACAGAAAGCAACAAAGTCAGTACCGAATTGATTAAACAAATTGAGCTCCCCACAATTGTAACTTCACTATTGCGAGCCCTAATTTTGCCCAAGCCTGAGCCCTAATTTTTCCAGCCAATTGAGCCAACGAGAGAAGATGACAAACCTAACGAAGTGAGAGTGACAGAGATGGCACGTGAGCGACGGCAAGCGAAGATAGCGATTGAATGAGCAACGGTGAGCGACGACAATGATGGTGAGTGAACGACGACGGAGGAATTGCTTCTTCGAATTGCTTGAACAACAGTGACCCCGAGCCCCATTTTGTTCTTGATGGTGCGACGTCATTTTCCTCAGAGATGTGTGACGTTGTTTTACTTCACTAAGCCACGTAGGATTGTCCACGTGAACTTTTTTTTTTTAAAATGTCACATCATATTAAACTTTTAATTATAAATGCCACGTACTTATTTTGGCCAGAATTTCTCACTAGAAGCATTTAAGTGATTAGGCGAAAACTTTTCGCACTAAAGTAAACGTTGTACACAACTTCTGACATTTCTGGTGTCTTTCTCCTAAAGGAGTTACGACACATATCATAATAATCAAGGGGAAAAAAGAAGATTCACTAATTTGGATAAGATGGTATCTGAATTGACTCTTTCCTTTTGATTTTTACTTAGTCTAAATCTTTTTTTTTTTGCTAGAAATACTTAGTCTAAATCTTGTGTAGCAAGATTTAGACTAAGTTCGACGTGCAGCACACCATTTTGCCTTACTTCGGTAGTTTCCACCAGCCACGCAAAGACTACCTAACCAGAACAAATCATAATGCCATCCAATCTTGAATGGGTTCCCACAGGAAAAGAGAGAAAGACAAAACAGATTGGTCCAATAAATCCAAATTCTGGTGTCATCAGGTTAACCAGCATGGAAGGTCAACGTCCTCAAGACAAGTCAGTGGGGCTTATCCATCATAATTTCCTAGCAAGAAAAGATTAAAAAACCAAATAACGGTCAGCTTCTGAATTATCATTCTTTGCTCATTCGCAGTCTTCAAATTGAAAACAGAAGAGCCCACTGTCTTCAGAAATGAAAACCATTGACCGTCGAAACTGAAAAAGCCCCTTCACAACACCAAGCCAATATATATCATCATATTCGTCGTTTTGTTCCTACATCGTACCCAACAGAGAGAAAACGTTTTCTTGTTTTCTTGGTTTGTCTGTCTTTCTTGAGAGGGGGGATGGCTGAGACGGTAGGGAAAGAGAGGAAGATACTGGTGGCTGTGGACGAGAGCGAGGAGAGCATGCACGCCTTGTCATGGTGTCTCGAGAACGTCGTCTCTGAGAACTCCAAAGACACCCTCGTCCTCCTTCACGCAAAGCCCCTTCGTTCTGCCTACATAGGCCTCGATGGCACAGGTAAAAACCAAAGGTCAAGATGGGTCTTCTTCTTTTGCTGTCGAGACCATCTCTTGAAGATATAGAGTGGCTTGAAAATTCTATATCTCTTTCGTGTTCTGTTTTCAGGGTACATGCTTTCTTCAGACATGGTGGCCGCCATAGAGAGGTACAACAACGAAATGGCCGACTGCGTTATGGCTAAAGCTAAGAAGATCTGCCATGATTTTGGTGAGGTGAGTTCTTATGGAAGCATATATTTCTAAATTTCAAGAAGCGATGTATCTAGGGATATACCGCAGATGGTTGACCTGGGTGTGGCTGCTGTTGTTGAGGGACAGGTTGCGGTGGAGACGCGAGTTGAGAACGGGGATGCAAGAGACGTGATCTGCCATGTGGCACAGGAGTTGGTGCCTGATGTTCTGGTCATGGGAAGCCATGGTTATGGCCTTATCAAGAGGTACTTCAAATATTGCTCATCTTGTTTAGTTACTCAAAATTCCTAATATCGACTCTAATAATTAATCAATTTGGAAGGAAGACATGTAATATGTAGCCTTAGCTCGAGATAATGCTAGCGTTGAAAATATGGGCAAATGGTTCTATGGTGAATCGGTTTCACACCATGAATCCAGAACCTACTATGTTAGCATTCGATAGCCAAGCCGAAGTTGACTATTGTTTGAAAAAAAAAGCTGTCACTTAAACAATTTGTGGTATATTGATGGGTTAATACGACGATGGGTTAATATTATGAAAAACCTCAAACTAATACATCTATGACAAATTTACCAAAAACTAATTTTTTGTCTATAAAAAACTCCAAACTGGTACACATGTAATAAATTTACCATAAACTAATTTTTTGACCACCAAAAACCTCAAACTGGTACATTTGTGACAAATTTACCCTCTGTTAAATTTGATTAACATCACGAAAAATTACAAATTTGTACACCTGTGACAAACGGAGATTAAAACCCCAAATCGTTACACCCATCAACTGCCGCATGTCATCCAACTTGAAAATTTGATGGTAAAATTTAACAGAAACTAACGGAGGGTAAAATTGTCACAGATGTACTAGTTTGAAGTTTTTTAGGGTAAATTTGTTATATGTGTATCAGTTTGGGATTTTTCGTGATATTGATGAATTTCCTAAACTCCTGGATTTGAAACCCATCTCTAACATATCTATTTTTTTTTTCTAATTCCCGGTGTCTCGCTTGGTTTTTAAGCCTAAAAATAAATTAGATGAAAATCAGTCCGGTTGCTCACCCCAGTTGAAGGTGGGCCTTGCCTATACGTGGGCAATCGAGAAGTCTCTGGGTGTTTGGTTGACAATTCAATGATTTATTGGTATTAATAGAATGAGAGGAAGTAAGAAGGTTTGGTTTTCATTGTAATTGCTCTACTTCTATATGTGGCCAGATTGTATTTTTTGTATGGATACTCAATTGAGATTGGTGAAATGTGGCAGGGCCTTTCTGGGGAGTGTGAGCCATCACTGTGCTCATAATGTCAAGTGTCCTGTGCTGGTAGTGAAGAGGCCCAAACCCAGCAAAAGTAACTAAAACTCAATCTATACTTGTGTTTGTGTCCTAGTCCTATGTTTTCTTGGAGCGCTTTGACAAGTTTTGTTGTATATATTCATTCCCACATTGGCCAAGTGCGTCTCGGGTCCTGCCAAGGATTTGTGTACATATGCATATTCTTCACGAGTCTTATGACTTGTAAATGGACCGGTGTTTTTGTCAATAGAATTTGAACATCAAAATGGATATGGTGCTTGGCCTAATAAGCATTGAGCAGCATGTTACTTGAGAACCCCCTGTGATTGGGAAACCCAAGCTTCTTCTTCATTTGGAAAATTGTAGAGACTTGGAGAAAAGGGAAAAGTCTTGAACCTGTTATATGGTAGCCAATTCAACCCTAAACCTTTCAATTGTGCCAATTGGATTATAAATCTTTTGACGATTTGCCAATTTAGTCCTATACATTTTTTTTTTGTCAATTTAGTGCTAAACCTTTTAAAGATTTGCCGATTCAATTCAAAACCTATTATTTAAATATTTAGCCGAAAGGACTACATTGGCAAATTGTCAAACAATTTAAAACTAAATTGACAAATTATTAAAAGGTTTAGGATTAAATTAACACAATTGACACAATTGAAAAGTTTAAAACTAAATTGACAAATCATCAAAAGGTTTATGGCTAAATTGACACAATTGAAAAGTTTAGAACTAAATTGGCCTTGATACAATAAATTTAAGACTTCTTGAACAATTTTTCCCATAAATTTTCCGTCCAAGAAAGGGGGACAGATTTAGATAAGCCAAAGAAGTTCATTTTTCCGAGCAATGCTGATCAATTGCAACGAATAAACAGAAGAGGCGGCAGGCGAATTCATATAGAAGGGCAATGGTTGGAGATTGCCACAACATGAGAAGTCCTAAAAGAGGGCAATGCTTTTTTTTCAATCTTGTTACAAGCCAATACTGCAATATAAAAGAAGTAACCCGACGACCATACTACTCACTTATGCCATAACTTCCTCTTTCCATTCTTTGTACCCATTCATATGACCCTTTTTCAAGTGCCAAAGCAACGACATGATCACGCACCAAATGTCAAATGACTCTCAATTCCGTGACAACTCCAAAACGATCCACGCTTTTTGGCAAAAGTATGAACATACATTAGATAACATAGCATACCCTACTGAAAAACCTACCTGAACTCAACCCGGTTCTCGTAAAAGTTACACGAAGACCCCGTAATGTACCACTCCACGTTTCTATATGAGCAATCACAGGCATTTTCTATGGATTTATACACGTAATAAATACCCATTTCACAAATAAACTGCTGGCAAATTCTCCATTCACACTACACTGTCAACGAACAGATCGGCAAAAAATGGATCAGAAATTGCTTCTTTGGCTGAACCATACTTGTCTAAATGCTTCTTCAAGGATCGCAGCTCTCTTTCGTCCTTTGAAGAACGTTCCTGGGAAATATTCGATAATCAATAAAAATGTGTCCTTGGTATCGTAAACATAATAAGCATGCAGAACTATAAACACTCCCAAGAACCGCCATTACAATGAAGAAGGTAGAAGCTAAGAGGATCATTAAAGCCAGAGTGTCATGAGCCTTCATAGAAGGATAAATCTATCTAAACAGTCATTTGTAATCAGTAAATATTGAAAAGAGAAAAAGAAATCCAGTTAACATATAGCCCATGTTCAAATTATCCTCTCAAAACTCCAGAGGAGCAATATCAGATTTGGCTATGGAGAGAAAAAAACGGAACAACGTAACACCATTATCATCTAGGGAAATCAAAAGACTAAAAGACATATAACTTTTATTTCAAGACATGGATATGCATATAAAGAGAATTTTTGTGGAGCACTTAGAAATGGTTTCATAAAAGGGAGCAAGCACTTACAAATGATTTCTTCAATAGTAATATATCAATCAAATACACCAACCATAGCACGTTCGTTTTTGGGAAGCTGTAAAGAGAAATGACTCAATCATCAAAATGAACCTCCAGCTATAATATACAAGCCCCTTCAACAATATGAATCTAGAGTATGAGAAACAAGTAGTGAACACTGGATAAGCAAGTGCAAGAGAGAAATACATTTATGTGCGTAAATCAATACGTGCTTATATATGTAAACGAACCAATGAAGTAGCTATGAGCCTATGACTATCTTTTAAGACTTAAAAATAAAAAGAAAAATCAAGACGTAACAGCTCAAAATAAACGTAAGATTACTTCACTACCGAAAAGCTGAGAAGCACAAACCAAGCTATCTGCCAAATGTGTCAAAATATGAAGGTTTACTGTCGACAAAATAAATGCTTCATAAGTCAGGCATATTCAAATCTTAAAGTCCACACTCTTTGTACAAATAAGTCACGTTGGGTTTCCATTAGTCAACTTGAGAAATCATACATTCTTGTTTTCAGCTAGAAGAATTAGAAAGTATTTCTCTAATCCATTTAGCAGTTCTAGACAGCATAATTCAATGAGTAATGTCCAGATTAGTTTAGAATATGGAGCCATAAATCTCATAATTTTCCAGGAACAATCACACATGTTTGCTAATCATATGTAGGATCAATTACTTCTCAGTGCAGGCAACAGAAGTAGTACCTTCCTTCCCAGTAATCTTCTGTCACTTCTTTCATCTTTCGATAGGTTTCAGACTGTACAAGCCCAAAAGTTAGGAGGCATAAATATTTAGTATCTCAAGGGAAACCATATGTTATCTTACTTGTTTATCTCCTTTTGGACCTTTAAAGAGATAAGGATCTGAGGATAGATCCAGAAAGAGTATATCTTGGCCTGTAGATACGGAATGCTATTATCAGTGTGCTGGGTTAGATGTATATAAACCATCATAGAATTGACATAAATTAGGTAATAGATAAGATGCCAACCAGTATTAATTCTAGAAAGCGTGAAATCAATTATGGATATGCACAATCCAAAAGTCTTGACATTAATATGCCTTCCTTCAAGCGTGAACTTCAGCATCCTAGAATCATTCCGGCTTAATAGGATATTCCCCCTGTCACAAATTCACATATTTAATAAGCAATTAAAGATAAACAGAAATATGCAATAAAAGTTATAAATCACATTATAGATGAACCAGTGCAAATCACGGTGCTCAAATTCGTATGCAGCTTCAGCCACAGCCAGGGCAGCAGTAACCTACAATTTTTTGGTGGAAAAAGGATCACTTATTGAATTAACCATACCAACCACTAAAAAGTGCAAGTGCTTCATGATTTACCTGAACAAGTAGACTTCGTGCTTCATCAAAGTTCAATAGCACAAAGCTCTCAAGATCCTTGCCCCCATGTTCAAGGACAAACACCATGTAGCACTAAAGGTAATTTGTAAGCATATGTCAGGAGAAATGGGAGCACAATCACAATAGGTGTCAGCATTAATACAAACTTTTAATCAGAAATTAATTGCGGTGTCAAATAAATATCTATGCTCATGATCATAACTGTAGAGCACAACTACGGAAAGCAAGTCAAAGAAAATCACTAGGGGTGTTGAGTAAAAAGCGAGAAAATAAGGTCATCTTTTAACAGAAACAGAAGCAGAATAAAAGTACAAAACCTGTTTCTCTGGAAATGCCTTGGGATGATCATTTTCTGAACCATTTTTTTCATCCCAATCTTCCCATGCTCGGATCAATTCCACATCATATGGACCTTGGCAAAGCCTCAGACTGTGAAAGGAAGATCATGAAATATAGCTCATAATACAATCTCTCAAAGTATTGAAAAGCAAGCATGAATTCAATACAGGCCAATCTACCTGAAAGCATTTTTATAGTTATAGCCACCAAATGCTCTCTCCTATAAACTAGGTCAGGCAGTCACTATCACAGGACTTAACATAACTTAGATCAGCAACATGCTTAAATCATACAAGGAGGACCTTTGCAAGGACTAGCGAGCACATCATCTCTCAGCACCATATTGAAAACAGAAAAGAATCACTTGCGTCTTGTTATTTCCATCTATAAGGCTGGCTTACAAACAAATTGACAGAACTGAAAGATATCAGATGGATGACATACTCTATTGTCTGTATGAATGTTGTGCATGCATTATCAGCATCGTCCTTGCACTCTCTTAATCTGTTGAGAGTTTGAGAAAGTACAGCCTCCTCAAGCAATTCTTCTGATCTCTGGTGAACACCAAAATTGAGTCTGTCACTCAAAACACTCCATTGTACCCATGAAAGCACAGATATTAGATCAGAAATGGGAAGATAGGAGGCTAAGAAGAGACAAACTCATTAGTCATTAGTAAATGCTGTACAAAAGGATTTAATATGCAACAATAGGTCATATATTCTTCTAACCCTAAGAATCAGTCTACTAATTTGAGCTTGATTCGTAAATAGCATGAAAATAGGAAAGCTGATGGAAGTGACTTTCCAATGAGCTCATACAAACATGATAGTTGATTACAATAATTACCTTCTGGACTTCACCATTAACTCGCAAGTCGCCATCTATGGGAACCACCTTGCACACATAATTACCAGCCTTGAAGGCTTCCCCAAATGTACCCTCACCAATTTTGATAATATTATCGGGGGCACTGTATAGAGGAAGTGCTCTGTCAGTAGGCTGAACAAAACCAGTGCAAAGTTCAAAGACGGGCACAAACAAATAAAGAATTATAGCTAGAAAGGTAAATTAATTCACTGTTGAGAAAGTCCCTCAACATAGTCTCATTTAGTACCATTTTATCCAAAGTGGCCATTTTTTTTCTATCATATAACCAAACTAGATTGATCTGCAATTTCATGGCAACTTGATGCAACAAGCTTTAAACTCAACCTCTTGCATTTATATAAAATTGAAGTTTTACTTTTGGTCCTTTATTTCTTCCCATCACACTAGCTTTTTAAATGCATCTTTAAGAGAGAGTGAAAACATCTGTGCACTGCAATATGAATTAAGTTTACAGTCAAAGACTCACCAAAATTTAGAGAACACATCCACAAGATTTGAAGGAGCTGTCTGCCCACAAACGGCAAGCAGTGCAGCAAATGGGTTCCAGTTATCACCATCAGATGTATCACAAGTTGAAGTCAGAGACAGCTTCCTAACAGCAGCTTCTAAATCTTTACAACTTTCATCAGTGACATCCTTCAATTCCTGTTTGCCAAGCTGAGAATGACCATGCCTTTCAAGATCATTCTTACAAATCAAACTTGGGCACATACTGGAATTGATCTGCAATAAAGATCCACTAGGCGTCTCCAACGTCGCCCCTGAGAACATGGCTGGGGTTTCTAATATCTTTGAGAGTGTGCTTGAAGGTCCACAACCATGATTCAGTTTCTTTGATATCAACCATTTCTCTAGCCTAGATGACAAGTGAGGTATGACAAAACTTTCAGTTTGATTGCCAACAACCCAAGTAGCAGACTTCTTGGGAGAGGGGCTCTCCTCTAACAAATCGAATGCATCAACCTCTTGAAAGTATGACCTTTCCTTTTCGAAACTATGCACGACCTTTGCCTGCAAAGATCATGACATGCAAATTACCAGAATGAAGGACCTTAGGTTGACAAGCTATCTGATACACAAAATTTTGGAGGCCAGAATACGAAGAACAGACAAATATTGCTTTGAAAGAAACCTTGAGAATTCCACGTGATGCAATAGACAACATTGAAATCATACTTTTGGAAGAGGAGGTTTCGCTTTCCTTCTGGCATGCTTCTGTTCAGGACGATGATCTACACAAGCAGTGACAGCTATACTCGTTCGCCCTCTTGCAAACACAAAATTAAATTGTAAGCAAGATGACCAAAATTTCGAGACAAGATAATCACGGAGACAATTGCATTTTCTACTTCAACGTGGGACAGATGGTGGAAAGAAGTCTGCTGCTAGATCTTCATAATGCACTCATCTTTTCTTATGGGTCAGAATCACAATGCGCCGCACAATTGGTCAAAAACTTCCATCAAAGGAAATTCAAAGCCTTGAGATTATGCAACATGTGAATGGATGACCATATAACCACGGAAGCTAAGCCGATAAGAAGTCAGACAACAATGTTTTACAAGAATGTGGACTTCACCCATTTCGCGCCCACCTACTAAAACATCAATCGACCACAAGAAGCACACGAACCCAAAAGCGAGTAAAAAATTTAACACGGGGACCACGGAAACGAAGCCAACCTGGTGGAAAGCGAACGGTTCCAACTGACCCGCTTGCCATTCCCCGCGAAACTCACCCGGGCCACATTGACCACGTTCTTGCTGCAACCCGCACAAGGAAGATACACAAGAGAGAAAAGTAAAAAACAGCAGAAGCCCATGTTACCAACTCCATCAGAGACAAACGGACGAAAGAAGCCCGAACCAAAAAATGAAAAAATTTCGGCTTACCCAGTCGCCACATTCTGCTTACCGACTCTCTCCTGCTTCCTCCTCCGGTAAACCGCCTGTTTCCCGGGCCCCTGCTGCTGCTGCTGCCGCAACCGCTCCTGCTCTTCTCCTTCGTCGACGGCCGCGATCTCCGACCAGAGATCGGCGCTGCTCCGACCTGCTGCTCCGGAACTCATCAGCACCGACCGCAGAGAGAGAGAGAGAGAGAGAGAGAGAGAGAGAGAGAGAGAGAGAGAGAGAGAGAGAGAGAGAGAGATGGAGGGAGGTTTGAATGTGCTGCGATGTTGAGCGGGAGAGTGCGATCGGGGACTTCCCTCGAGATCAGAGAGGTTGGAAAATGGGCCGGGCCGGGCACTGCCGAGCAGACCAGCCCGGAATGGGCCTCTCAATGGGCCGGGCCTCGGCCAGTCCATGCCTCTAGCGGGCGGGGCCTCTCAATGGGTTGAAGGAGCTTTGGAGCTTTGGATCTTTAAGGGTGCGCATGAATACCATTCGTGTGGGCCTATTTACGAACGAAATGATTTTTTTGATTACTGCTGGAAACAATTTCGAGTATTTGAAGGCGTTTGATAAATGTCCAAAATTTCTATTCCTAGAGTAGAAAAGAACGAAATGCGTTTGTAGTAACTACAAAAATTTACGTTCCCAAATAATATTTTAATAATATTTTGAATTGTTTAAATTTTTTTTTCTTTTTATTTCTTCTTTGGCCATGGCCGTGTCGCGGTCGCCGCCACGCCCGAGGCCGGCGAGGGCGTCACGGACCTCGCCGGCCGCCGGCGAGCGAGGGTCGCCCTCGCCAGACGAGGGCGAGGCGGACCCTCGCCGCTCGGGCGAGGCGGCCTCGCCCGGGAGACGGCGAGGCTCGGCCTCGCCCGGATCGGCGAGGCCGAGCCTCGCCGTCGCGACCCACGGCGGCCGACCTCGCCGTGGGTCGCGACGGCGAGGCTCGGCCTCGCCGTCTGGCGAGGCCGAGCCTCGCCGCTCTCAGCGGCCGACTCGCCGTCGCGACCGACGGCGACGCTCGGCCTCGCTCGATGCGGGCGAGGCCGCCTCGCCAGCGGCGAGGGTCCGGCCTCGCCCTCGCCAGGCCACGAGGCGTGGCGGACGCCGTCGCCGGCCCGCGGCTCGACCAAGAACAACACCACAAAATAAGAAAAGAAAAAAAGAAAAGAAGAAAAAAAACTGATTCTCAAAATTGTGCGAGAAACAAGAAGCAACTTTTTTTACTTCTTGTTTCTCTTCCAAAACCGTTTCTCGGCACAAATTTTCGCAAAAATGTGCCGAGGAACAAAAAGTTTACCAAACGCATTTCTGTTCCCAAACTATTTCTGGGAACAAAAGAATAGAAATTTTCACTATTTGGCACGTTACCAAACGGGCCCTAAGTATTTCGAAAGACCTTTCTTTTGATGTAAGACTCATTTAAAACGGAGTTCGGTATAAAGATGTGATTAGCCAAAATTTGCAGAGCGAACTGTCTTGTTGCTCTATTCATAGCGGCAAATATGGTGCTTGCGTGACCTTTTAGTCGATCCATAATGGACATTTTGGCACGAAAAATGGAGCCTCGCTCGCTAGAGTTTCAGTCGAGATTAGCTAGCATGTAAGTTTGGCGTCCAATTAATGCTTCTCTCATAGGATGTGAAGCTTTCCTGGCTATGTTGTGAACACAAATTTTAGTTTATTGTTACGAATGTTTTGTCTTCGCTCTCTTTGTTGGAAGTTTTAGGGAAAACAATGTTTGTGCACGATGGGTGTTCAATACCACTGGGAATTAAGTACCGCTTGCTGACTAGTGGTTTGCTCACTCCTTTTCTTTACCATTTCTAAGTTCCTTAACCCGTGCAAGGACCCTTAGAAGGAGCGAAAAAAGCACTTCGACGCGGTGATTTTTGGACCGTATTCTTTCGGTACGAGTTATTGGCCAAGTGTACAATGGGTTTTCTCGGAGATGGCTGGTTTGAGGACATACTTTTATGGGCCCAATTCCAAAAAAAACCCTAAACTTTATACTTTGTCCCAATTATATCATGAACTTTTTTTTGTCTCAAGAAAAATCACAAACTTTTATCCAAGTCCCAAATCTACCCAACCGTTACAAATCCGTCCATTTAACGTCAAGAAAAAAAAAAAACAAACAAACAAACAGAGAACCGGGAAGGAGCGGCGGCCAAGCCTTCGCCGGTGGCCGCCGCCACAGCCGCTGGGAAGGAGCGGCTGCCCTCGCCTGGGCCTTCCCGAGGGCTGGCGACCTTCGCCGGCCCCGGGCGAGTCGATGGCGAGGGCATGCAGCCCCCGATCTAGGGTGAGGTCGCGCCCTCCCCGGATCGGGGCTGCACGCCCTCGCCGGCGACTCGCCGAGGCCGGCGAGGGTCGCCGGCCTTCGGCCTGGGCCTTCCGAGGGCCGGCGACCCTCGCCGGCCCCGGGGAGTCGCCGGCGAGGGCGTCACGGCCCGATCTGGGCGAGGGTCGCCGGCCCGGGTGAGTCGCCGGCGAGGGGTGCGCCCCGACCCTTGCCCAGATCGGGGCCGCACGCCCTCGTCGGCGACTCGCCCGGGGCCGGCGAAGTCGCCGGCCCTTGGCTGGGCCTTCCCGAGCCGGCGACCCTCGCCGCCCCCGGGCGAGTCTCCGGCGAGGGCGTGCGCCCGATCCGGGGGAGGGCGCGACCCTCGCCCGGATCGGGGCGCACGCCCTCGCGGCGACTCGCCGGGCCGGCGAGGGTCCTCGGCCCTCGGGAAGGCCCAAGCGAGGGCAGCCGCTCCTTCCCAGCGGCTGTGGCGGCGGCCACCGGTGAAGGCTTGGCCGCCGCTCCTTCCCGGTTCTCTGTTTGTTTGTTTTTTTTTTTTTTTTTCCTAACGTTAAATGGACGGATTTGTAACGGTTGGGTAGATTTGGGACTTGGACAAAAGTTTGTGATTTTTCTTGAGACAAAAAAAAGTTCACGATATAATTATGACAAAGTATAAAGTTGAGGGTTTTTTTTTGGAATTGGGCCTACTTTTGTGTTAGGTTTTGTACTCTAAAACTTTGTAACCGGCCTTTCTTGGCCTCTTGTCATGTCCTTCTCTTTATGGACAACCAAGTCATCCCTTTTCCTCGTGTGGATTTAAGGGGCGACACTATGACTCAAATCGAACATTATGAGACCTTTATGGTAACGCCTAGAGTGAATTGCTAGAGCCGATCATCTCGTCTCGGCCTTTTTACTTATAAAAAAAAATAGCGCTAAAAATGGAGCGAGGGTATCCTCCTAAATTGGCGATTTAGCATGACTTGTATTTTGGAAATTGGACCCACGAGAACCGTGTAAAATAACGAAACTTATTTAATCGAGTCATGCCACTAACTTCCTTGTCGGTGCAAATGTTATTTTCTGACTTCCTTGTCGGTGCAAATGTCATAAAGAAAATCCTTGATTTTTCGGTGCAATATACAATTTCATCACAATCACAATCAAGCCATACGCCAATCTGGAGTACAGCCGAATCCTTTGACCTGGTATTCATTGATGTAACACTACTGACATTACATGCATGTACCTACCTATGTACATATACTTATATACGTACGTATAAGATTAAAGATACAAATTCAATTACTAAATATAAAATATAATGACAGAATACGCTTGAATATTCAAAGAGATGGGTCGTATTTCAAAATCCCTGAAAAGTGTATCCTACATGATTTCGCAAATCAATTTTGTAATTCGGGCTTTGCATTCCTAGTATTGTTCAATTTGTATACGTACTTTAGCCGCGTACGTCAATGGCAAGCAATTGCGAATCCATGTGCAATCACACGGTCGTATAAAAAGAAGTTGGAGGCCACCACCGTCGTGGGATGCGCTAACGCATTTATTTTGGCACGTCTATTGTGCAACTTGAAATTTGTCCTCTTTGTGTCTATAATCATAAGTTTGTGAATCTATTTGCATTTCTTTCTGGTTTTTTGGCCTGAGGGAAAAAGTACGTTTATGAACTTTACAGGATATTTCGAGAATACAAAGAAACACAATTTGGATAGTATAAAAATTTCAAACTAGTACCCACGACAAATATATCCCAAATTAAATTTTTTTGTCTCACAAAAAATTCCAAAGCGGTGCCCCACGACACATTTACGAGGCGAAATCTCAAAGTAGTACCCCGACCCAAGCCTGCACTCCATTAGCTATTTGGATATGATGTAAAGGGCAGATTTGGATTGGGGGTACTAATTTGGAATTTATTGTGAGAAGAAAATTAATTCGGGATAAATGTGTTGTTAGTTTCTTATGAATCAGATTTTTGCTTTTTGTGAAGATTGGAAGCCATTAGTTTCTTGTCAATCGAGCTGCGCAATAAGGTTGCTTCGACCCATGACTAACTTCAATTTCTCTTTTTTCCATAATTCGAAATCACGTTATGCACGACATCAATGATGCTGACAGATGTCTTTACCACTCTGTGTTTTTCAACTCTCTCATTCCTCTAGCGTACACACATTGGCATCTGCAATGATGCAGCTCTTGTGTTCGATGCTTTGACTCTGAGAAGATCATCCTGCCGTTTTGGTTCCAAGTACTATCATCAGGGTTGACTTTACCTTGCTTCACCAGATGAGCATATTTTGATCTGTCACGGTCTAAGAATGAAGTATATTCTATCTGTGCTTGGGGCTCAAGGCTGTCGAAACTCATCAGTGATTGGCATTCTTATATTTGCTTTGAGTATTGAAGGATGGGGTTACAAGACGTGGATAATATTGTTTCGATTGGACATTTCATGCAGGCGTTCACGCACCATACTTTGACATCGTCTGATTAGCTAAAATTGTTCACACGTGTCTATGGGGGCATCCACGTATCTTATCCGTGTTATACTTTGGCACTGTCTGATCTGCACGTCAACTGAATTTGATTGAATTTGGTGTCGGTGAGATTTGATTATGAAACTTGTCAAAGTAGAATGATTTGATTAGAAAAATTGAAAATTACAAAGACTTGATTTTAAAAAATTGAAAGTACATGGACGAAAAATGTAGGATTTTTCCTTTATTATATGAAAGTCAAATTTAGGTTGAGAAATTGGAGTATTGTGATGTTATTGCCAAACGGTGTGGCTATTCCTGACTTTGATGATATATAATTATATTTTTGACAAAAAACTCCCCTTCTAGAACAAAGGCAATGACATTGAAATGATCTCTCAGCAGGAAAATATGTTATCATAAGATATTTAGGTTTTTTCACGTGGTCGCGCGGGCGCCATTCTAGTTAAAATACAATGTTGTGCATAACGAGTTTAGCAATTGAAATTAGAAAATGAATAGAATTTAGTACCAAAAAAATACTATTAGGCCGGGTTCGAGAAATAGCAAGAATGAACTTGAAACCATCTCAAACTTACCAGGTTTTCGTGACTTGGTGCATTGTCTAATAAGATCTAATCATATTCAAAAGCCGAAGAAGAGTACGCTACATAATTTTGTAAACCAAATTTCATGTACCGGTTTTTGTATCTCTAGCATCATTCAATTCGCGATTGTATTTTAGCCACAAACATGATTTGGTGGCCGTCTTAGGACACAATGCATTTACTTGGCACGGTGTGGAATTTTCTTATAGTAATACCCGAGAGCCGAAACACCTCCTCTTTTTGTCCATAATCGTACGCATTATCTAGTCACGTCGTCTTGTTGCTATGTCTTGCATCTGATTTGCTATGTTATACGAAATGTGATTATTTTCATGTTATGTTATAAAATCGTCATGTCTTGCATCTGATTTGCCATATCATGTTACATGTGATTATTAACGTCATGTCTTAGCACCTAATTTCCCATGTAATGCTATATGACTATGTTTGGTCATTTGGATTTTTAATCAGGATAAAACTGGATAAGATATGATATGAAGTTCAGAAATTTTGTTCTATCGTAGTAATAAAACCATATAGTTTCATATCCTATCATGTGCCTTGCTTGATATGAACGACATATCAATGTAAATGAACCTAAAATTACATAAACGGAGACGATAAGAAACTTTCATGATCCACTGCTAAAGAGACCACAAGTGCACAAACGGAGATAACTTCCATCAATAAATCTATGATTGTTGTACAATCTAAATTTTATACAGCAAATGAGCTCATTGTAGCATTCCAAAGCCACAAATTCAACTATAACTAGATATGTAAACGAGTTATAGCAACATCGACTAGGTAGATCACCCAACGAATGTTGAATATAGTAAGAGAGAGAGAGAGAGAGAGAGAGAGAGAGAGAGAGAGAGAGAGAGAGAGAGAGAGAAGACATGATTGTCCACTTCGCAATTTCGAAAAGTACAATGCTTCGATACTCTCACCTACTTCATTTATATTTACTTTTTTTTCTATTTTTTATTTACTTATTTCGTTCCATCATTCCTTAATAAAAATTTATTAAATAATAAACTATACTAATATACCTAAAATACTAAAAATACCTAATATATGTAATAAATATAAAATACTATATATATATTGAATATATATTATAGGTTCGAAAGAGATTCAAATATATAAATAACAATAGAAACAAATAAAAACAAAATTTGTTGTTATTTTTATATGTTATTTTGAAATTTAAATTTGATTATTATTTCAATTGTATTAAATAAATAAGTTTGTCCTTAGAGAAATATAGATATTATACTATGGATATAAAAAAATCTATTCATCTTTATCTTATCTCCCTCGTGGGATATTTTTATCCATGTTATATTTCCTTTTTATCCGATTTTATTCTATATTGGGTAGAAATCAAACATCGTATATAAAATAAATTTTATCATATCCTAATTTTTATCTCGACCAATCGTAACCATGCGATTATTAACATGCCATCTCATTTTCATGATTGGTGCCTCATTTGCCATGTCATGTCATCCCAAAGTCAATGTTGTTTTAAATTTCTTACTCTTTTGTTCATTTTTGTCCCCTCTTGCATGGTTAGAGCCTCATATACCTTACTAGATCATAGCTTAAAGTATGGATTCGCGACCCCGGCACATTAAATTAATTTTCTCTTCTACAATCTTTTCCTGGATATATATATTTTTTGGATTCATGTAATATCTGAGTTAATCTAAAACAATTTTCTGTCCCTATTTAGTCATTTACCCAATTCTTTCAAGAATACAGAGCCATCAATTACTTATTAACCTAGCTGACTAATAAGGTTTCTTCAACCTATAATTACTTCTATGTCTTTTTAACATTTGTGCAATGACGTCATGCATGACGTTTATGGTGCTGACATATGTCTCACCACTTCCAGTTTTGGCTTCTGTCTCATTCATTCCTGGGGGACGCATAGATTTCGCAATAATGGAGCTCGTGTCTTTGATGCTTTGTCTCTGGGAGAGGATTATGCTATGGTTATGGTAGCATTGTTATTATTATGGAATAGCGACACAAATGGTTCGCAAACGTTGGCTCAATATGCAGTGCGCGATCTCTATAACTTTTAAATTTGTTCAATTTGATCTCTGAACTTTAGCCTAATGTGCAATGTCGTTCCTGAACTTTTAATTTGTTCAAAGTAGTCTCTGAACTTTTGGTGCATTTTCAATTTAGTCTCTGAACTGTATGAAAGTGTCCAATATTGTCCTTCCATTAATTTAAGTTTAGGGACAGTATTGAACATTTTCATATAGTCTAGGGAATAAATTGAACGTGTACCAAAAGTCTATGGATCATATTGAACAAATTTAAAGTTCATCACATTGAGCTAAAGTTTATGGATCACATTAAACATATTTAAAGTTCATGGACCACATTGCACGTTAAGCCAAAGTCCAAGGACCATTCGTATCATTATCCTATTATTATGGTCATCACTATCCTTCCTCCACATCACCTGGGTTGACTATGAAGCTTATTGGACATACCCTGCTCACCAGATGAACATATTCGATCCGTCACGGTTGGCATTCTTATAAAATGGTGCGTATGCTATTGGTATTTGGGCTCATAGAATGTCAAAGTCATTGGCGATTGGCATTCTTATATTCCGTGATTCGCAAGATCAGACCTTGGCTTTAATAATGGTTGCTTTTCTTCTGGTATTTTATTTTATATGCCACAAACAATCTACTGATGTCTGCACCATGTTATTGTATTCAAATCAATTTGTTTACCCTACCCTCTTAAGATAACCTGTGGTTGTGCCTTGCTATTATTAACTATTACGTTTTTCCATCCGATGCCATTGCCTTAGCCTTGAACTCCACTTGCTATTATTAAATGCTACATTTGTCCGTTTTTGCAAGCGATACAAGTAGTCATTTTTTGGAAAATGTTTTCTGAATCGTTGATTTTCCACGAAACAAATGGAGCCTTCGTAACAAAAACACTATTAGGCCGGGTTCAAGAAGCGGCGTAAATGATTTAAAGCCATCTCAAGCCTTCCTGGTTTTTGTGACTTGGTGAATTGTCTAATGAGATCTTGGTCATCCCATAAACTTACAGGAATTGCTATATACCCACCAAGTAGAAAGGAGAACGTCAAATGTTGATAACTGCAATAAAGGTTTCATGCAAAGTAAAGAGGTAATCTTTTTGGGAAAAATTGCACCGGAAGTCCTAAATCTTGTGCGCTGAATGCAATCAAGTCCTCAACCTTTCAAGTTGTTCGATTAAGGCTCCGTTTGTTTCGCATAAATTGAATTATTTGGAAAACATTTTCCTTTCCGACCAAAAAAGCAAAAAGGTTTTCTAAAAATAATCGTTTGTATCGCTTAAAATAATTAGTCAATGAAAAATATTTCATTATCACAATAATTTATATCTGAATATTTTCGTGGACGATAGAATATTTTTTCTGTTCGTTCATTTTTGTAAACGACACAAACGATTTTTTTAGGAAAATATTTTCTGAATCATTTATATTCTGTGAAACAAATATACCCTGCATCTTTTTCAAAAAGTGCAATCAAGTCATTCGGTAAATAGTACTTGAAATTATCTACGTGCCACTTGAAAATTGCATATGGGACAACCTTAAGTTGCACTCTTCAATACACATTTTGGGGCTTCATTGCATCTTTCAATAAATGTTTAGGAGGTAAATGACCAGTTAAAAGATTTAGGGACTTCGTGCACTTTTCGGTAAAGGTCTAAGACTTGATTGAACCAATTGAAAGGTGTAGGACTTGATTGCCTTTCGTACATAAGATCTAGGACTTATGGTTTCAACTTTTCTAATCGTTTATGCATGATGAACCATATTAAAAAGGCCGAAGAAGAGCGCACTACATAATGTCGTAAACCAAATTTCATGTACCGGTTTTAGCATCTCTAGCATCATTCAATTTGCAATTGCATTTTAGCTGCAAACAAAATATAGTGGCCACTGTCGTGGTACACAATAACGCATTACTAATTGATAGCCAAACGTATCGATTTTTAAAAAAAAATTTAGTTTTCAATTAAAAAAATGAGTCAAAATGTATCGATTTGCGATTGCAGCACTTTAAGTTATTTATTTTGTGGATTCATGTTATATCTGAGTTAATCTAAAAAAATTAATTTTCTGTCCCCATGTACTCATCTGCCCAATTTTTTCTAGATTACGAACCATCAATCACTTATTTTTTTTTGGTCGAACATTAATCACCTATTAACCTAGCTGATTTATAAGGTTTATTCAACCTATAGTTACTTTTATTTCTTTTTTTTTTTCATACATACAAATACGTCATGCCTGAGGTCTATGGTGCTGACAGATGTCTGACCACTTCCATTTTGGACTTCTCTCGCAGTTATTCTTGGGGGATGGATTGGATCTTGCAATAATGCAGCTCGTGTTTGATGCTTTGAGTCTAAGAAAGGATTATGCTCTCGCCTATGCTATTATTAATATTGTCATTCCTTCAAATTAACTGGTTTGACTATGAAGCTTCTTGGACATACCCTGCTTTTCAGATGGGCATATTTGATCTGTCACGGTTTGAGAATGAAGTACATAGTATTTGGTGTTTGGGTTCATAGAATGTCAAAGTCATTAGTGATTGGCTTTCTTATATTCTGTGATTCGCAAGATTAGACCTCGATGTTAGGTATATTTGCCTTTCTTCTGGTATTGTATTTTATATGCCGCAATCTGCTGATGTCCACACCATTTTATTGGATTCAAATCAATTTTTATTCCCTACCCTCTCAACGTAACCTGTGGTTGCGCCTAGCAATTCTTAGTTGCTAAGTTCTACCATCTAATGCCATTGAATTGGCCTTGAAGTTTCTTCATGATTCTGTTATGTCGTGGATCGAATCAGCGGCTCATGTTTAATTGCTGCCGGGGGAAAATAAGGGCGCGGGTTTGATACTTGTGAAATGAATCTGTGGAGCAGAGGCACGGCCAAACTTAACTTGATAGGGGTATAGAGGCGCAGCCCCCGTAACCACGTGGAAGAAGGCTGATTCTGTATGCCTATAATGTTATTCCTTTGCGATGCAGTTTAATGAATTGATCACACCGATTGAACCACATTGATAAGCGAGTTCTTTTTAATTCTATATTCACTTTCTTGCAAGAAGCTTAACAAACGAGGTAAAGTTACTAATTCATTCCAAAAGAGGAATTGCCTTAGTTATCTTGAGCTTGGTTTTTTTTTTAGGGAAGGATTGCCTATTTGACAGAGGGAAGAGAAGTAAGAGGTGACAGAGAAGCATGCACCATATACCAGCCTAAACTACTTGCAAGTTGCTAGAATATGGAAGTCAACTCCCTGAGTTTGGTTACTTGAGAAGGCAAAATACTATGTACCAACTCAGATGTTTGCGGGCTTATTAAAACTTGATTAACTGACATGACTCTCTTACTTCCCCTGCCGCCCCAAAGGAAAAGTTAATTTATCGGTTCCACGTTCCTTATGCAGCAAGCGTATGAATGATGTAATTGATTACTTCATCTTCATTTGATACCAGTACCGTTGGTCTATACATATGCATGAGCATATAGCATTCCAGTTTTTCTTCAGAGTTGACATTTGTGCCTACACTCTCACATATGGCTGAGCTAATTGGAACGGAATCAGATGGTATAGAATCCATTAGAAACGAGATATCAGAGCTAGGAAGGAGCCTCAGATCATCATTTCGGCTTCATGCTTCGAGTTTTCGAAGCACCTTGGCTGTGAGCACAACAGAAGATGATACCAACGATGAATACGATCTCCAATGGGCTGCCATTGAGAGGTTACCAACTTTTGAGCGGTTGAGGTCGTCACTGTTTGATAGTGAGATCGATGGAAAGGCGGTTGATGATAAAGGAAAGAAAGTGGTTGATGTTACCAAGCTTGGTGCATTGGAGCGTCATTTTTTCGTACAGAAGCTCATCAGGCATATTGAGAATGACAACCTTAATTTGTTGCGCAAGATTAGAGACAGAACAGAAAAGTAAGCTTATTATTCTTCTCATGATAATGGGAGTAGCATATATATTCAGAAAGTCACAAGGCTATAGAGTTACCAATATACATTAAACCTGTGTGAGCATGACAAATTTGTGCAGACCTAGGCAGCATGAGAACCCAAAAGTTCATTAACAGATGAAAACATTTCTCTTCATAAAATGCGTTCCAATGAACATGCTTGCATTTGACCTTGGTATGTGGCCACACTGTGCCTCTCCCATGTTGGCCAACTTATTTGAATGAGGATTTGCTTTCTTCTTGCTTTTTACTTTCCTCTTTTGCTTCTTCAAACTCATCCCATGGGTTTTATTTTTCATGTAGTAAGGAAAAAAATTTCTGTCAAACTGTTTTCCACAGGGTTGGTGTCAAATTGCCCACCATAGAAGTCAGATATCTGAATATATGCATTGAAGCAGACTGTGAGATAGTTCAAGGAAAGCCCCTGCCCACTCTCTGGAATTCTCTAAAGAGCATGCTTCCTGTAAGTACCTTTCTTGTCAAGTAGATTGTAGGAATTCTTGCAAAATCGTTTTGATTTCTTGCTATTTGCCATTAATGAACAAGCAGCCAAATTTTAAAGATTGAATCCTTATTATGTGTACTGCTTTCCAACATGCATTTCTATACCATCAGCAAATATATTTGCAAGTTCTTTGACTCCTGTCATCTTGAATGTAGTTTTTCTAAGGGTACAGATGCATGTACTTTCTTTTATTTTTTGAAAAATATTGGGCTAATAAGGTTTTTGTCCTTCTTGAAGAGGTTAAGTTCAGGAAGTGTTGCCGATCATTTCCACACGTTTGTTGAAATATACTAGCGCCAATTAGAGGCTATATGTTGTGAAGTGTGGCAAAACCATGCTCATTTGCCAACACTGTTTTTTTGTTCCCACACCCGTTCTTACATCCTTCCGCTGCTGTAACACTCATCATGTAACTTTTGTCTGTTATAAGACATAAATAATGCTAACCATTCTTGTGTTGCAGAAAAATTTCAACAGATGTTTTTGGCATCATGTCAATTTACCTTAAATGGTTGCTGCTTCCTAACAATTCACTAATTCAAGTAAATTGAACTTTTTGTCCAGGGTATCCCTGCAATGCCAGGTTCAAAGTTACGGAAGGCTAAAATAAGCATCATTAAGGATGTCAGTGGAAATATAAAGCCCGGAAGGTTTGTTATCCCGTTTCAGCTCTTCCAATCCCTCTGGATCATCTCTGGAAAATTGTGCCTTGCCCTTCGTGTTTAGGCAGTCCTAGTGTCTTCAACTATTTCCTTCACTTCTAGCTGCAATTGTTTGCATCACCTACACTCAAATTACTATCCAGACTCGACTCGATGTAGGTTGTAAAAGGCTAAGTACTTAGCTTTTACAATGAACCTATCCAAACGTGAGTGTAACCTCATGACGCACTTAGTAGCAAGTGATGAATTTCGTGAGCGTTGGCTGATTCTTTATATTTGAGAGCAGCGTCAATCTTTAGCAATTCGCACCACACTTGCCCACAGTGAAAAATTTTATGAAGTTCAAGAAGCTTGCTAGGAAACTGTAGTCATATTCATAACCTACTTTTTACAGGGAAGGGTTTTTGTCCATGTTTCCCATGAGGGAGAATTCGGCCTAAAGAAACCTATGTTTTATCTGACATATTGCCAATCTCATTATCACACCTGTAATTCAAGAAAACTATTGTCCTAACTGTTCTATTACAGAGAGAAGCACAAGCCTGATGATAGGAGAGTACATAACATTCATTGTCTTTTCTTGCCACAGAATGACTCTACTGCTTGGACCGCCTGGATGTGGGAAAACTTCCTTTCTAAAGGCTCTGTCAGGGATTCTAAGCAAATCGCTTGAGGTTTTATGCTTGCTCTATGCTTAAGAACTTCTATGTCAAATTGCAATAGGCTTAATGGCAATACCGACATACCACATGTATAGCTTACAAATAACGTGTAAACTGAGACAGAATCACGCTCAAGAGAACACATGCTCACCCAAGTTCCTCTTTATATGAACAATCAACATCAGCATCCTCGCAGACATGGACTCTGCAAGTTTTCATAAAGTCAACACTGCTGCACATTGTGCTATTTAATTTGACGAAAGTTCTTAAAGGGTGCTGAGAAGTGAGAGATCATGTAGCGTGCATTGATTTTCTCTGCAGTTCATAGCTAATTGGGAACAGAACTATTTTCTAGTCTATGGTTAATGGCACAGAACTTGAAGTTCAAAGTAAGCTAATTAAGTACAGTCAAAACATCCATGAGCTCTTATTAATCTGTCCTCGAGTTTGATATTCTCTGCTGTTCCCTCTCTTATCTGATAGGTCACTGGAGAAATATCATATAATGGCCATAAGCTTGACGAGTTCATCCCCCAAAAAACGTCTGCTTACATAAGCCAGTATGATCTGCACATTCCAGAAATGACTGTGAGGGAAACACTGGACTTCTCTGCCCGTTGTCAAGGTGTTGGAAGCAGAGAAGGTGAATATCCTTCAAAGTGATTTTAGATCTGTCACTCGGAAACTGTGTTAAATAACGGTCTTTCTGGTTTTTCTGGTTGCTAAGATATCATGATGGAGATCAGCAGAAGGGAGAAGGAAGCAGGAATTGTTCCAGATCCTGATATAGATACTTACATGAAGGTACCTTTAGTGACATTCTCCAACTTTTTTCTCTCTACCCATTTTAAAGTACAAATTCGAGTCTCCTGTTTTGTCACTGGAAAAAAGCCAATTTCAATCTCAGTACTAAATTATTCCTAGAAGCAGAGGAGTTGTAAATCGTAGTTTGGTTGTTTTTCTGGAAGACAAGTTTGTGACTTTTGTGCCATATCATATAAAAGGGGATATAAACTGATTTTTCTGCATGAATTTCAACTGTTGAGCGGTGGGTGACAGTGAGTTTCTGTGCTCTTCTATTCTTTCTTTGTTAGGGAAACAATCTTTGATAAATGGGATGGCTGGGATGTAATATCAGCATTAGATTGCTTCTTAGCCAGGTTACTAGAAGTTCTACTTTGAGCGTGGTGCAATTAGTGTGGCTAATAGTTACAGATTCTACTTAATGTGCCTAGGTTTACCAATCCAATGGGAGCTCATTATGAAAAAAGGAAATATGCTTCGCTTGTGTTCCTTTTCTTTTATGACCTATTGGCTCGACGTTAACACATTCACTGAACTGCTTAATTTCTTTCAACTATTTGCCACTTCTAGAACTTTTGGCGACAATAATCATGTCCTGTTTACCAGGCAATTGCTCTCAAAGGACTTAAAAGAACCCTTCAGACAGACTACATTTTAAAAGTAAGCTCTTTTCACTGAGTCAACAGTTAATTAGTTTGCTGTACACGAAATGATTAAGCAGAAACTCCTGTCTTTATTTCTTCAACTTCTTCGCAGATCCTAGGGCTGGATATCTGTGCAGACACATTGGTTGGAGATCCCATGAGAAGAGGAATATCAGGTGGTCAAAAGAAGAGATTGACTACAGGTAGTAGAAAGACAAAATTCAGCAAATCTTATCGAGAATCAACTTCTATATGACGGAATTGAACAATGTTTCACTTTCATTTTTGAGCTTGGCTACTTGAAATTCCAAAATCTTATCTGACAAGCCAACTTTCTGGTAAAAATTGTACAGCGGAGATGATTGTTGGCCCTAATAAAGCTCTATTCATGGATGAAATAACGAACGGCTTGGACAGTTCGACGGCCTTTCAGATTGTTTCTTGTCTTCAGCAACTAGCACATCTGACAGATGCCACTATACTGGTTTCGCTTCTTCAGCCTGCGCCAGAAACATTTGATCTTTTTGATGACCTTATTCTGATGGCTGAAGGGAAAATTGTGTACCAAGGCCCTCGTGATCAAGCTCTGAAGTTTTTTGAGGATTGTGGTTTCAGGTGTCCTGAAAGAAAAGGGGTTGCTGATTTCCTCCAAGAGGTAGCAAACACTAAGCAAATTGTGCACTGCAAGTTAGCTACCTTTATCGACCATTTATTATGTTGCCTATTGATATGCAGGTTATATCTAGAAAAGACCAAGCACAATATTGGCAGCATCCTGAGCTACCGTACGGTTATATATCGGTCAATATGTTCTGTAAAAAGTTCAAGGAATCTTATTATTGGATGAAGCTAGATCAGGAGCTTTCAGACACATTTGATAGGTCCAAAATCCACAAAAATGCTCTTTCTTTCAACATATACTCTCTGTCCAGATGGGAACTTCTGAGAGCATGCATGGCGAGGGAACTTCTTCTCATGAGGAGAAATTCTTTTATCTATGTTTTCAAATCAGTACAGGTCAAACTAAGCTCTCATACATTTCTAGCTGCTATTATGATGTATATTGCTTTCAATGTCCGTGCCTATAATAATCTAATTTCTAATCTATCTCCCTGATTCCATATTAATAAAGGACCTTGGAAGTTGATTATTGCCATTTCATCATACAGCTTATTTTCGTTGCATTTATCACGATGACGGTATTCTTGCGGACTCGGATGGGATTAGATGTTTTTCATGCCAACTACTATATGGGCTCTCTGTTTTATGCGCTAGTCATACTCCTCGTTGATGGATTTCCGGAATTGGCAATGACCGTTTGGAGGCTAGCAGCCTTCTATAAACAAAAGGAGCTGTGCTTTTACCCTGCTTGGGCTTATGCAATTCCAGCATCTATACTGAAAATTCCTCTTTCGCTGCTGGAATCTGTGGTTTGGACATCTCTTACATATTATGTGATTGGATACAGTCCTGAGGCAGGCAGGTCAGTTTTAACATGAGAGTTCTTCATTTTAAGACCTTTCATTATCTCGCATCCATAATCTTCTTTTACATTTCAATATCATCTGTAAGTTTTACTACCATTTTAATCATAAGTCAATACTTCTATCGTTTTCTTCTTATTTATGCAGGTTCTTCCGCCAATTATTACTTCTTTTCTCTGTGCACTTGTCCTCAATATCCTTGTTCCGTTTTCTTGCCTCAATCTTTCAAACTGTTGTTGCTTCCACCACAGCTGGTAGTGTTGCATTACTGATTTTGATGCTTTTTGGTGGTTTCATCATCCCAAAACGTAAGGATGTTAGAATTTCTTTTTGGTTTGATCTTGGATGAATAACTGGGCCTTAATATTTCACATTGTCGCTGCAGCCTCTATGCCTGCTTGGTTGAAGTGGGGTTTCTGGGTCTCTCCACTAACATATGGAGAAATTGGACTTTCTGTTAATGAATTTGATGCTCCACGATGGCAAAAGGTGAGGGCCTTGTAGAAGTGAGAACAAGTATTTGGCTCCTAAAGCTCCAATACAAGAAGCCACTTTAGTTGCAGAATCACTTAACCACTTTTATCTAGAAAAGTATTTTGACATTCTACCCCTCTTGGTTGGCTAAACCAGCTTGGCTACTAAAATGTTCTTTTGTTTGTGGTGCTCTGAGTATGAGGACAAGACACGAGTCCAACTGTATTAAATCTGAGGGCCTCAGTTAACAAATAGATGTTGACAATCTTTACATCCTATGATCTCATTCTTGTAATTTCTCTGTGCTAACTTCCTGCCTAAAATCAGAGTGCCTCATTGATGTTATCTCATCCAGTTACTTGACTTTGATACAACACAATTGCTGGATAAATGATAATATCCACTCAATAAGTATTTGGATACTCGCTTTCTTTCAGGAAACAATATATCCTCAAAAGTGGGTACAATTTTGTAATCCATAGGCAGAACTAATTTCCTCTGCATTTCTCAAAGCATTTTTAACTTGTTTTTGCTTACATAACTCATTGATTTAACTAACTTCCTCTTCATCTTTTTGTGCAATTGGATAAGTTCTTACTTTAAACGTATATTCACAGATATTGTCATCAGACACTACAGTAGGGAGTGCAACCCTTGAAAGCCGAGAACTAAACTTTGATGGGTACTTCTTTTGGGTATCAATTGGTGCCTTATTGGGATTTACCTTACTGTTCAACATTGGTTTCACTTTGGCCTTAACTTTCTTGAAGCGTAAGTTTGTCATTTCTGCATCTGGACTTCACTTTTGGAGCAGTAGTGCCAAGGATGTTCATAAATTACTTTAAAACTTACAGCTCCGGGATCATCACGTGCTATCATTTCACGTGAGAAGTACTTGCATAGTCGTGAAACTGAAGATTCTCATGACAGCATAAAGCATGAAGAGCCAAAGAAAGTTTCTGCTGAACCTATAAAAACAAAAAATGGTCGAGTCCTAAATTCTTCCTTACCCAATTATAGTCACACAATTATTATTTTTTATGTTCCTTTAAAATTATTAAACTGGCTTCTTTATTTCAAACAGGCAGGATGGTTTTACCTTTCACACCATTGACGCTCGTTTTTAACAATGTGCAATACTACATAGACACCCCTGTGGTAACCTTTAGAACTCCCCTTTCCTCCTGAAGTTGCAAGATTGAACCTTTCAGATCCAATGAATGATGTTTTCTCTTCTCACTACATTCTCCCCTTTCGGGTTTCTCAGAAAATGAGAGAACGAGGATTTGCACAGAAAAGACTGCAACTTCTCTCTGATGTCACAGGCGCATTCAGACCTGGTATTCTTACCGCATTGATGGGTGTGAGTGGAGCTGGGAAAACTACTCTTATGGATGTCCTTTGTGGGAGAAAAACTACTGGCTATATTGAAGGAGAAATCAAAGTTGGTGGTTATCCTAAGGTTCAAGAAACATTTGCAAGAATCTCTGGTTACTGTGAGCAAACGGACATACATACCCCACAAATCACTGTGGAAGAGTCTGTTATTTTTTCCGCTTGGCTTCGTTTAGATCCTCAGATTGACTCAAAACGTAAAACGGTAAGATTACAGTCCTGGCTTCTGATAATTTGCTTTGTTCAACCACTATCAGAACAATCATGAATTGCCTGTGTAGGAATTTGTCAATGAAGTCCTGGAGACGATCGAGCTTGATGGAATAAAAGATTCTTTAGTGGGCATACCTGGTGTTAATGGTCTATCCACAGAGCAACGAAAACGAGTCACAATCGCTGTAGAGCTTGTTGCAAATCCTTCCATAATCTTTATGGATGAGCCTACAACAGGACTTGATGCCAGAGCTGCTGCGATTGTCATGCGAGCAGTGAAGAATGTAGTTGACACAGGACGAACAATAGTTTGCACTATCCACCAACCCAGCATTGACATATTTGAGGCTTTTGATGAGGTAAAGCGTGTTAATCTATACACACATACTATGCCCATCAGTTGGCTTTCTTCCAGCGTGCTAAAACGGTTAGATGAATAGGTTACATAAGGATCACAAGTGAAGATAACGGTATTGAATCACTAGAGCAGAATCTTATTTTAATTTCATTATATAATGGTAGCTGTTGAATCACTATGAGCAGAATCATATTTTTATTTCATTTCGATTGAATAAAATCTTAAAAAAAAACCACATGTTAGCTGGTAATTTCTTGTGCAAAATATTTTTGTACTTCTGGTTTGATATTGGAAAGCCTAATCTCTTTCTCTCTCCGCCTCTCTCTGTCTGAGCAGTTGGTTTTATTAAAAACTGGTGGAAGGCTGATTTACTCAGGACCCTTGGGACATAACTCAAGCAAAATTATAGAATACTTCGAGGTCAGTTTGATGCATGAACACAAAAATATGACAATTACTTCCATTTCTTGTAATTTTACTACATAATTCTTATTAAAATAACTGCTAATAATTAATACCTCCGATAACCAACTTCTGTTGGACAGAGTATTCCAGGGGTGCCAAAGATTAAGAGCAACTACAATCCGGCTACATGGATGCTAGAGGTGACTTCTACCGCAGCTGAAGCTGAACTTGGCATTGATTTTGCTCTAATATATAGAGACTCGACAATTTATGAGTAAGTTCATCCTCTGCAACTATTGAGTGCCCAATAACAGTGTGCTTGCTTGATAATTGTCAAAGATGGTCCATTATATTACGATACTTTGAAGCTATCCTGCCATTCTATCGTAATCACGATACAGCAATGGTTTCTTTAGTCTTTTCCTTCAGACTGTAGAAGCTCCTGGAGTCTAAGATTGTAGATTGAGGGACCCGATATGCCATATATATGATAACCCACAGCTTTAACTGGTGCTCCTGCTCTGATCTCCTTAATTAACAGATGCGCAGTTTGATTGATCCATTGACAAAATCCATTTTGATCAACCTCGTGTTGTATTTACTTCCAGGACCAATGAAGAGCTTGTAAAGCAGTTGAGCACTCCATCTCCCGGTACAAGTGACTTGCACTTCTCCTCCCAATTCTCACAGAACAGGTGGGGACAATTCAAGTCATGTCTCTGGAAGCAGTGCTTGTCCTATTGGAGAAGTCCTCCTTACAACTTGACTCGTATCCTCCACAATGTTGCTGCGTCTTTTCTCTTTGGGCTACTGTTCTGGAAGCAAGGGAAGAAACTGTGAGTAACTATCCCTCTTGGTAAATTTGGGACTTGAGTCTGCTGAAGTTTTGGGAACAAGCTTACTGAGATGATCTAAAGTCTCCATCTGGCTAATTGAACTTACACTTCTCTGATCTTGTTAGCATCTAATCTTCAACAAGTAAGAACTACAAAGTGCATACCTTCTAGGGTGTCAAATGTTTGGTTGTGTTTTTCAATTATAATGGTTGGCACAATTAGCTAGCAGTCATATAAGATCGTATAACTTTTTATGATCTGTTATGATTAAGAGACTTGCATATCTTCTGACTCCATATCTTCTCATTGCTAGAAACAACCAGCAGAACTTATTCAATGTATTTGGGTCAATGTATATAGCCGTGATCTTCTTGGGCATAAGCAATTGCTCATCAGTACTCCAGTATATTGCTATGGAACGGACCGTCATGTATCGTGAGAGATTTGCAGGGATGTACTCTTCATGGGCTTTTTCACTAGCACAGGTATAGAACTCTGGGCAGTTGATTGAGTTGGTTAATGAAGTAGTTAGTTGGGATTCAACCTTCAATTGAATATTCCAAATTCTTAAAATGTTTTAAGACATATAAGAACATGTAAAACAATTTAATCAGATTATTGTGCTATGCTGATTTTACAGGTTGTTGTTGAGATACCATATATACTAGCCCAAGCAATTTTCTTTGTGATCATCACCTATCCGATGATTGGTTATTTCGGGTCAGCAGACAAGATTTTCTGGTACTTTTATGTCATGTTCTGCTCATTGCTGTCATTCAATTACCTCGGAATGCTGCTCGTGTCCCTGACACCAAATTTCATGGTGGCTGCAATTCTACAATCTGCCTTCTACGCAAATTTTAATCTTTTTGCTGGGTTTTTGATCCCAAAACCGGTAAGCTATCCGTGTCATTTACCATAGTTTGATCTAAATTTTTATGTTCCTCACTCTTTCCACAAACATTTTGCCTTGTTCTTTTCGTTGTATATGTAGAGTACCAAATTATGAAGTTCATGAATCTTGCAAGATGTGGATATCTTATGCATGTATCGGCAACTACTAATTAAAACTATTTCCTATATCTCAAAACTTAGTGCTTGGGGAATTAATAATGCTTTATTATCAATGTTGCAGAGAATTCCAAAGTGGTGGATCTGGTTGTACTATGTGTGTCCAACATCGTGGGCACTTAATGGTATGCTAAGTTCGCAGTATGGAGATATCAATAAGAGAATAGAGGCATTTGGAGAAACCAAAACTGTGGCGGCCTTCTTGGAGGATTATTTCGGATTTCACCATGATCAATTATATGTCGTGGCCATCGTTCTCGTCGCCTTTCCTTTTGCTCTAGCAACTCTTTTTGCATTGTGTATGGGGCACTTGAACTTCCAGAAAAGGTGACATCATAATTCTTTGTTAGTATCACAGTGTAAAATGTAGTTGTACAATCCTCAAAACTAGCCAAATAAAGTGAATAGGTTTTTGTGACAATGGAGTGGCCACATTGAAACGATTAGTATTCTGGATTTAGAAGTGTATTAGTTTCAGCATGGCCAATTTGTACAAGTTTAGAGGAGGATTCAGTGCTAGACAGTAATGAATATAATCTCATGTGAAATCTCTCCAAGTTCCTGGAACTCTCTCTTGTTGTCAATTTGTGATGATGAAGGAGAGTCGGAGGGCATCTCTCAGCTTCAGCTAATTTTAGGTCTCTAACTGTTACACAATAGAAGCACGTCTTTAATTCTGAGAGCTTAGAGAAACAAAAGTACGGCGACTTTTGATATCGTTTTGATGCTAAACACCCATATGTCTCTGATAAAGACAGGTCCGAATCTATAATAATAATTCACAGACAAAGTGAAACTAACTAAAGCAACTATGTGTCTGAGCATGACAAGAAAATCTCGAGTAAAGAAAAGGCAGTGAACTCTGAGGATAAAGCTTAGAGCACAATGGTATGCAGAAACTGGTTGTTTCCGATGCAATTAAGACAGACATCCAAGTAGAACAGGCCAAAAATGGGATGTGAAACAACATTCTTGGCACTCTGTTGCAACACCTTCCACAGATATTGGCACACAAGTTACCAGGTTTGAAGCAGTAGAATCTGCGAAGGGTTGATAACGAACATAGAAAGAAACAGAAGAAAAGGCGCGTTGTTGTCATCTCCTGAAAACAGAAGACCCTTCACCATTAGATTTTTAATTAGAGTAAGCACTGCCTGTCAGGCAATTGTGTCAATCTCTCATTGCCCTCATTCCGCTATACTTTGTCGAGCAATTTGAAGTGTTCATGGTATGTAATTACATATGTCATGAAGAATTGACCGAAAGCTAATTTTGCTGCAAATGCACTAGCCTCTTAACATTTACATTTTCTACCTGTTCTATTTCTTTTGGTAGCTGCTGCACTACACTTCATTATAGAGGCACTACAGTATCACTACAAATTTCATGAGGAAACATATTATATTTGTGACTCATTTGTTACCTCAGCTTTTTAAAGGATGTTGGATATTGTCTCTCCAATGCCTTTAGTTTTTCCTTCGCCATTAAATCTGCGTTCATTGAGTCTACTTCTTCCCTTAAATGTTCAGTTTCTTCCAGTAGTTTTGTAAAAGGGGGCCCCTCTCTGTCAGCTGCAGTTTCCGTCAATAGTTTTCAAGGATTTTCTAAAGTACGGAAACTAACTTTATAGATAGTTTCATGTGCTTACGCTTTTGACCTTTGTGGTGAAGATGACATCTACTATGTTTGCTAAATTGGTTATGATCATTGGTGCCCTGAAAAGATTCATTTTCTTAAAACTCGCGTTACCCTTGAATCTGAATTTTTGTTCATACGACGTTATCTCTCTCTCTAGATTTGAACTTCTTTGCAGTTGGTTATAACTTTCAACTTGTCTCTTTATAACTCATTTATCCAAACCTCATGTTTAAAGCTCAACCGAGGTTGTCTTAGACTGAAGGTAGCTATATATATGATGGTGCTTGCCTGAGATACAGCACATTAGACGTGAGAAACTAACTGGCATTCTCGACAATAGTAAACCCACAAGTCCGGGTTTCTTTTCAGTTCATAAATGACATAAATGACACATTAGTATTTGCTCGAATCTGTTGGATAATTCTAAAGGGACTGAATATCCCGATTTTGCATGGACGAACAAAACTCATGTATAATCAGGATCGAATGCGGAAATGTGAATAAGTCTGTATTAACCTCCAGCCATTGATGAAGTTTGATTTAAAACTGAAATCATCGAGCGTTGAACAGTCGGTGAAGGGTGTCTCTAGCCAATTGCCCTCTCGAACGTGATAGTGTGTTTTCATATCATGAGAGGATTTGACTTAGAAAACCCCTTTATATCCATTCGCACCCCTTCATACGACTTCTTCCATCAATTCGTTGTGCCTTTTGGGCGGTCACAATATAATGGACAATCATCACGCAACATGATGTGAACAATAAACATTAATGAAATTAACTGAACGTGGGAATAATAATCTAAATGTGGGATCACATTATTGATATTATAACAGAATCATCTTCAGCGGAGGATTTAATAGAGGGTTAACAGATCGATGCGGTGCTTACTTTTTATAGTTTGGGGTAAGTGAAAGCAATCGTGGTGAGGGTTGAAGTTGCCCTCGGGACAATGGTCGAAGTCGACGATACAATGCACTGCACGCATCTGGCTTTTTCCAGACAAGACTTGGTCTTTGGGCACATAGAGGATGAAAATTGAATTCACATCCCACACAGCCGAAGCTAGAGGCGAAAGTGATTAGGGGTGTGGGATATGTATTTATAAAAGTGACTAATTATACTCAGGATACAGATAGAAATGTAATTACATAAAGACCTCATAATATTACAAATTAATGTCTCGTACCTGCTGCTCCTGAACTTATCCTAGTTTATAATTCTAGAGTTGGAGAATATAAAAAGAGTTGACTTTTGACATTCTCTCTTCTGATATTGTGATCATCTGTAGTACAACACAAAGAGAAGATTGCATCGGTTCAACTTGATAATACCCAGATTTTAAGAAAACCATCTCAATAGTGTTTTGGGGCAATTCGACTTTGATGCCTTCGTATCTGCACTGCAGCAATCTGATATGTGTAGAAGTGTGCTTTGAACCTATAGTATCGCGCACCATGTATGTATTGTACTAATGTAGAAGAAGCATGTCTGGAAAACATACTCGAAATAGCGATGTTCTTTTAAAATGAGATTCGTTCCAACAAGAGATTGTGCTGTCTTGACACCCAGAATAAAAATCAGAATGAAACCGAGCAGGGCTCACAGCAAATTCGATCATGAGGTTACTTGGGCTAAGTAGGTTTAGAAAACGTGAGAGGCGAAAGACTCGATTTTGGATGCGCCACACAACATTTGTCGCTCTGTAACGCCTTTTGATACATTAATGCGGGCTACCAAGAGAGAAACCAATGAGGCCTATTTTAAAATGCCGCGGTTGACGGTTCAGCTTAACCATGTTGATAGATGAAACATTAGTAGCCCAGCAGTGTTGGCGGGAAATTACAAAGCACTATGTTGAGAATTCGAATCCCAACTTCTAACGCCGGTCTCTCTCTCCCTTCATTTTTGTTTATTATAGGAAGAATTCTACTTTTCGCTCTTGTACTTTCAATCTTTTCAGATCAAGTATCCGTACTTGTTTTTTTTGTCTAATACAATCATACTTTACCAAATTTTGCTAATCAAGTCTCTCCAATACCAAATTCGGCCAAATCTAACTGACGTGACCATCAGACCTAGTTGTAGTGTGATTCAAAGCTAGGAAATTCTCAATTCAGTAAATTTAAAAATTGAAAATTTTCAAATATGTAGTAATTTAGAGTATAACGGTACCTTTCTATAACTCATATGGCGGTAAATCAATTACCGTTGCTTTACACCATCAACATACATGTCAACATCTATCAATTTAAGCTTAACGCATCGGACTCCGGGTGATTATTGTCGCGGAAGAATAATCCGTCACACTTCTCACACCTCACAAAATTAATGACCCACTTGAGATTCCATATGAGCCATCCAAAACCCCAAACTACTTAACTTTATATCTTATATATTGCTATCAAACATAGAAAATTTCGGATGTCACAACTCTTTCCCTTTCTACTTCACAACTCTTGTGTGACTGCATAAATTCGGCCTTAAGCATGTGGTCTTTGAAAAATCTCCTTGCTGTGGGGCTCTGTTTTGTTGCGGTGGCACTACACCCTGCTGCTGCACCACCATAGGACACTCCCTTAGTATGTGCCTTGTTGTTTGCATCCAAGACAAACTCCATTTAAAGCCCAACATGGTGCATTCCCGTGTAGCCTCCCACAAGTACAACAAATATCAAATTGATACTGCGTTCGCATCGCTGGTTAACTATTCTGTGTAGACCCAAATTGTCCTCTTTCTCTTATTCGGGACAAATGGTTGTTTTTCAATTTGCATGGGCCTTTTGTCATGGCGAATGTCTGGTTGAAAGGCTTGATTGTTAGGCCTTGCCTGAAAAGTTATGGTTGCTAGCTCCGCCAAATCTTTCTCCATAAGTTGAGCATGCTCGTATAGGTCATTATAACCCTTGAGATTCAAAGGTGCTAGTCTACTCCTAATATCTGGCCTCAAATCATCTCGAAACCTCTTAACTTTGTCCACCATGTCTCCAACCAACCTAGGGGCAAACCTTGACAACTTTGTAAATTTTGCTTCATATTAATCCACTGTCAGATCATTCTACTTCAATTCTATGAATTCCATTACTTTCTTATCTCGAGCACAATTCGAACAATACTACCCGAAGAATGGCTTGACAAAGTCACCCCGAGTCATAGTGGTACCAATTGGGAACGCCGTCCCTTCATATGCCCTCCACCAATGACTAGCGTTTCCATGGAGGTACTCAACTGGAGCTATCTTGTAAATATCATTGCAATCTAATAATACAAATATCTCCTCCATTCCGTCGATCCATGCTTCCACCTCTTCAGAATTTCCTACTCTAGCAAACCTTGGTGGTTTACGCTTCAAGAATTGTTTGATTAAACCTTGCAAATGACGCTCCATTTCCCGCATTAGAGGCAACTTGCTGAAGTGCCTGTTATTCCATCAAACTTCGGACATTTGCAAGTGCCAGAAGAATTCCCTCCATCTGAGAATCTTACTTCGAATTGCCACCAGAGCTCATTTTATCTTTCAAGGCCTACACATATTATGTTCTTAGTAACAAAAGTTACTTATACCTAAAATGCAATCAAGGGCAAACACATGTACTTAGTATTTTACACTCGTGATGTCTACTTTACTACTTCAATCAATCATTAAGCGCACCTTATCACTCCATTGATAAACATGCTCTGATAGCAAACAGGCTGTGACACCCTAGAACATCACATGCGACATGTTTCCTTTCCAATCATACATTGTAATTACAATAGCATGCGGAAGAACAATAAAATATTCACAACGTCCCTTACTAAAAATCGTATGAGTTAAATAAATATACATATGCTTCTTTAAACAAACATAGTAGTTACTAACTTAATACCGCGTTCAAGCAAGACATAAATACAATGCATAAGTCCTAGGAAGGGTTAGGATCACGCATCACCACTCCTACACCCCAAAATTCGCCTCTACAAAAGTCAAGTTATTTAGTAGCCTTGCCCTTAGACATGCTATCCCTGTCGAAACCAGGGGGACCATCGAAATCCATAAGTGGTCCACCAAACTCCTTGTCGACCCATACGGTGGAATTGCCTTTAGTATATACTACCACCGATTTAAGTATAAGCACAATTTGGTATTCAAAATCAAAATACAAAGGAACACCAAACCACGGTGGTGGAAGGTGATTCATCCTACAAAACTGAAAAAAATAATGGGTGAGCCAAAACTCAGTAAATGAAAGCTCTAAGTTTAAGGTAGGAGATTCGCTTAACACTCAACTTGTACTATCAAACAACGTGAGTTCAAGACAATACAAAAGAACCATGTATGAAAAATGCAGAAAATACGTGCATTATCTTTCCTATCATGATATGCCGATGAAAACCATCAATAACATTGTATAAGATTATTCACTCAAATGCAAGCAAATGTCATATTATTTTATAATGTACAATTAGCACATATTGGCTCACCACTGCACACAGAGAATATTTATTCCCTACGCGTCATGAAGCTCACCGATATACATAGGTAAGCTCATACTCGTCATGAAGCTCATGAACACACATGCAAGTGAGTTCATATTGGTCATGATAGATAAGTTTATATTGATCATTGGCCAGGACCCATCTCGATTCATGAGGCATCCCCAACACTCTCGGGGCATTGTCACCACCAACTCTTGAGGGATGAAATCATAAGTATCTCTTTGCCATGCCACATAGCCCAATCATCATGAGCGTCCTCTAATAAGCAATGATAAATACGCCACTATACGACCGCATGATAATAATTAACACAAGTTTACACGAGTCAACTAAGGTTAGCAAGCCAACTCATATCATGTGTAAATTATAGGACTTTTATGTCCATTCAACCTTGTACAGGCCCGACTCTAGATGGTAGAACATCTAGCTAACTCCAGAGCTTTTCACACATACTCATACAAGGGAACCGGCTATGGCAAAGGTTTTCATCACATGGGATCGTTCTCATACATTTCATAACAATATAACAATCGCCATGTATAACTCAATATCAATGTTCACAAATGATGTCATGCTAGAATCATGATGCTTCTTTTTTCCCAAATCGATAATAGTATCGACATCTATCAATTGAAATACAACTA